AGCGGAGGAGGATCCTTTATTAATGCCGCCGATGACCGATATTGTTGCAGAGACCACAAGAGAAAAAGAGTGGGACAACGTTGCAGTCACTCACTTAGGCTTAGGAATGGTTACAACGTGGTCTTATAACAAATTAAAAATGGGAGAGCATAAACTGTTGCCAGAAAAATTCAAATTCAATATGAATATTACTGCAACTAGCCTTACCATCACGCAATGTGGGAACTTTGTCGTAATTGGATATAATAATGGTCATGTGGAGAGATTTAATATTCAATCAGGAATACATCGTGCTTCTTATGGTGGAGAAAAAGGTGTTCACGAAGGTCCTGTCAAAGGAATTTGCGTAGACTGCTTAAATACAACGATCGTTACTGCTGGACGAGATGCCACTGTAAAATTTTTACCTTTTAAGCCCGGCAAAGGTATGTTCAATGGAAAATTTATAGCCCTTTAGCTTAAAAATTCAATTCTATATTACAATGTATTTGTGTGTCGATAAATTTTGTTGGATAAATGATGAATAGAAAGAATAGAAATAAGTAGATTTTAATTGAATTGAAAACAATGAAAATATTTATTTTGAATGTTCATATGATTGCAGATTTAAGACCAAAAGTGACAATTGATGTACAAGAATCCGTGGAATGGCTTCGCGTTCATAAAGAGAATTTTTTAATTGCAATAGGTTTGCAAAATTTTACCATTAACGTAATCGATATCGATATGAAGCGAATTGTTCGAAAATTTGAAGGACACACAGGACGACTTACTGATGCTTCTTTTAGTCCTGATTGTAAATGGCTTGTCAGTGCTTCCATGGATCGAACAATCAGGACATGGGATATCCCGTCCTCGCAGCTGATAGATGTTTTTCAGGTTTACATTAATTTATAATTTAAAAAATATAAAGCCTAAATGCGTAAATTATAAAATTAATAATTTATTGTGAATTAATTTTTTCTAAATTCAAAAATACTGTATTATTATGATATAAACGAGTCCCAATAAGATTTAATAAGTATATAATTTTAAACAAATGAACAATTGCATAAAAAGTAAAATGGATTAATTGAACATTAAGCCTCGATTTAAATCAAGTATTATTATTTTCATTAACATTAACATTTTAATCGTCTAATTATGTTTATTGGAAATATAAAATTTAAAGACAATATTTATTGACAATTTCTATTCCTACGAGCTAAAATAAATGTTCCATCTGCTTTAAAATTTCAATTAACATGATTAATTTGGAAATTTGTAATTGAATTTGTTTCTACATAATTTGCATAATAATTGATATTATCATTGAATACCTTCATTTCGTTCGATATTGTTTTGTTAATCAATAACGTAAGATTCAAAGTATTATGCAAATTAAGAAAATAATATTTATGATTTTAGGTTGCCGATGCTTGCATATCACTAAGTTTTTCATTCACCGGAGAATATTTAGCTACCATTCATGTTTGCAATTTGGGAATTTGTTTATGGTCTAACCGAACACTTTATTCCCACGTTTCGTTGAAGGCTATACATCCGGAGGACAATATTCCATTGCTTTCATTACCCGGATCTACCATTGATACTATTGCAGAAACAGAGGAGAATAAAGTTTTAGTAATCGAGGAAGACGACGAAGACGTAAAGGAATATACTTCACCGGATCAACTGGACTCGAAGCTCATTACCATGTCCGCTCTGGCAACATCCAGATGGCAAAATCTATTGAATATCGATATTATCAGGAAGAAAAATAAGCCAAAGGAAGCTCCCAAGGCCCCAGCATCCGCTCCCTTCTTTTTACCCACAGTTGCCGCTTTGCAACCTCAATTCGATTTCTCGGATATTAAAACGGAAAAGGACAGCAGCAAATTATTGGTTCATCCAGACTTTCAAAGTCTCACGCCTTTCGGACGATTATTACTTAATACCATCAATACGGATGATTATACGGAAGCAGTCGAGGCCCTAAAAAGTATGGGCCCAAATACAATAGATTTGGAGGTGCAATCTCTAGCATTTGATATGAAATATAGCGTTTCGATGTTATTGCAGTTCATGAAATTGTTAAGATTTATGTTAAAAAACAAGATGAACTTTGAATTGGCACAAGCTTATTTGTCATTGTTCTTGAAGTCTCATGGGAACGCGATAACGGAAGAGAAAGAATTGTCCGACTATTTGGAAAAATTTCAAAAAGTTCAACTCAAGGGCTGGAATATTTTAAGAGAAAAATTGTTTTATAATCTCAGTGTTATTCAGCATTTAAAAAGGACGTAATTGTTACATGTAAGATCTACTTTTTCAAACGACTTAAAAATGTAAAAATTGTTTATATATTTTTAATGTAAATGAAAATGTAAATAAGCTAATAGTTGTTTAGCTACATAAAAATTAGTACGCTAAGTTACGATAAGAATTACTTTACCTTTTTTGTCAACACAAATGCAAATGCAAACATTAACATAATTTTTAATTGTTTTAAGTACGTTTTAAAAATAATCTTTAAAAAGGTATACATTCTCTATTTATTGTAGTCACTAGAAGTCGAAATTTAATGGGATTATAATACATTTTTTTAAAATATATTACATATTTAAGTTGTTAAACACATAGAATTATGTAAATGCAAAAAAAAAATCTTCGTTATACTTAAAGCAACTCGTATATCATTTTAAAACTGTACAAATGTTTCGAGTATAAAATATGCATGATTTTATCAATGCCTCTGTTTTTTTTTTTTTCTTTTCTTTTCTTTTCTTTTCTTCTTTTTTTTTTCTTCTTTTTTGCCACTTAAATTAAACAATTAAAAACAATAAATTAGATATATATCTATATGTATAATAAATAAAACTTAATCCTCTTTATTCATTGCTAATGACGATCTTTATTGCTGGTGTTTTTTTGTTGGAGCGTTTTTTCGCCTGAGCTAAAATAAAATAAGATATAAAAAAAAATAAAAACAAGTCTTTATTTAGTAAGCTGTAAGACGATTTTTTTTTTTTTTTTTTTTTTTTTTTTTTTTTTTTTTGCTTTGTCAATGCGTCATAGAATAGATAATAGTCATGTATTCACCGTTTAATTCTCTCCCCGGTGAAAAGATCTTCCTCAGCTCTTTCACCGGCTTTACCGGAGAGCTGACGTAGCCAAGCGACTTCCGTTTCATGATATCCGACACCTTTAGCAAATTTTTTGGCGATTTCGGGTTCAATGTCATACACTGATTTACCAAATAATTTGATCTTTTATTGATCATCTTCCTCTCGGTTGCGTATAAGAGCTTCGTGTGCTTTATGCAGTTTTTCGACATATCACCGGTTGACTTGCTCGTATTTTTCGACGACATGTTGTAATTGGTGGACGAATCGGTCATGAAATCGGAACACGATGACGGTCTTGCGCGATTAGCATAATGCCCTTGGTTACGAAGGAAAAAGGACGAGTTGCCATTATTATTATTGAACGTAACTGCGCTTTTGCCATTATTTACTTTCAATGCCTTTGAGCTCTTAAGTAATTTAAAGGTCTCCTGCGTATGGTAGCTCGGGCTTCTCGTGCTTCTCACTTGCGGAGATTTCGTAAGTAAAATTTGCTTCAGTCCGACCTTTCTCATCGGTATTTTACTATCAATCTGCCTGCTACGACTTTGCTCGTAAAGTCGGCTTTGATTTTCGAAAAATTGTTTCATCTCGGCGACTTTACAGGGCTTCTTATCGCCAGGCGATGCCACATTTATATCGGTTTTACACACAACATCCACAGCACTGCTGTATTTGCCAGCAAAGAAATTCTCTTTATTTGTTCTGTCAACCGGCGAATATTGTTTATGAGACGGTGACTGTAGTCGCTTAGCGACCTTGGATGTTAAACAATTGAGCGTCTTTCTGTCGGAGCAATTTTTCGTCTCGCTATTTACATTTGTCATTATTTTTAAGGAAGTGGCAATATTATTTGCATTATTATTATTGCTCACACTATTCATTGGCGTTGTTAAGTTCTTCGATACATTAGTTGTAGGGGACAAGTGTTTCGGAGTCGACTGTGCATGGTCCTTCATGTCTTTAAAATCTTCAACTATTTGTACTAAAAGTGCTCCAGTTTTTTCGTCTTCTACTCCGCTGTCCGCTGTTGATTCATTATTTGCCGAATTCGGAGAGTTGACAGTTAAAAATTGCTGCTGCTGCTGCTGCTGCTGCTGCTGCTGCTGCTGCTGCTGCTGCTGCTGCTGCTTAGATGGTATTTCAAGGATGTTCGAACGCGTTTCATTTCTAAAAATATTTTTAGCAAAACATCGTTAGTATTATTATTATTATATAAGAATTGTAAAGTGCGCGAGCGAAAAATTTACTTATACGATACGGCATTACTATTACTATTATGAGGTATCATTAAATTACTAATTATTTCATTAGTTTCATTCGTTCAATCGTCTCCACTGATTAATAATCGTTTATGTTCATATCAATATTGAAGTAAATTTTTCTTACAAATTTTCAAATTTACTTTTTGCTCAGCTAATCCATAGCTAGCGCTATATTTATAAAGAGTCAATATTACAATTGTCGAAAGTTATTTATATTTAGTTTATAATGGCAAATATAAGACTTTAAACGACTCAGCCCTATTAAAAATGAGATAGCTACCTCGTGACAGTGATTTTTTTTTTTTTTTTGTTTGTTTGTTTTAAATTAAATAAATATCGCAGCATCTTATACACTATTATTACCCCTTTAACCAAAAAGATATGAAAGAAACTTTCGAAATTTCTTATTGATATTTAATGCAAACATGACTAAAAATTACATTTACAATCTCTTAAGCAAAATCTAATTGTTTTTATTAAGTTTTATAAGGCGATTGAATAATTACTTAAGTTACCTGTCCGGTGAATTCGATTCGTTTAAAATCTTTTGATTTGAAATATTTTGACAATCGAAAAAAACATCATCTGAAATTGCATCTAAATTTATATTTAACACGTTTTCATCTTCGTCTACTGATTTAAATTCCAACTCCTCCATTAAAGATTCTTCATTCAAAGTTGTGAGATTATTCTTTTCTTCTTGAGGGTCAGAATCTCGGCTTAACGAAAAGTGTCCTGCCAATATTGTTGACTGCAAGGAATTCCAAGACTCATCGTCTCTAAAAGTCCTGTGATTCATGTCACTACCACTGCAAATAATACTTTCTGACAAATTCTTTACATTTTCCATTTCTGTGTACAGAATATTAGCTGGTTAAATATAGAGAAATACGATACATTAATTGTAATTCTTTTACCATATTATTACCTCAATTTTTTAATAAAAACACAGCCATCTAATTGCGGCGGACTCGATTCATATCCAACGGACGAAATTCAAGTAAAATCCAAAGAATTTGTAAGTATTTGAAGAAAGGTCGTACGAAAGCATTTATAAACGTAAACAGAAACTTTGAATCACAACAAGACGCAACAATATTCCATACGAATAGATTCAAATAATATACATTGTTCATAGTCAATATTTTGAAATTAATATTTTATTTAATAATACTTTCTATACACATTATATCTATTATAAATATTTAGTAAGAAGCTTTATTTGTTTAATTCAACTTAATTATAATTTTCCAATTTTTGACAACGAATACTACACTTTATGCACACGCGCTCACGCACACACACCGGCGCGCATATATATATATATATATATATATATATATATATAATTCGGAAGAGAAATAACTGCGCGAATTTAAAAAAAAAATAAAAAAATAGCTTTTCAAATATATTTAAAATATGCAATTCTTTAGTGATTTAATTTTAATAACGTTATAAAGGATAAAATTCATAAAAAATTACAATATTTTAAACGTATTAGACACAACTATTTATGCATAAATAAATATATACAAACATAATAATGATTAATATAATTGAAAGCGAAATTTTTATTTAATTCATATTTTATTTCTTACATATAATAGTGCAAATTTCAAAACAATTTTATTATACAATTATGACGAAACTTTAAATAATTATTAGTTATTTATAATCATACAAAATATATTATTTTATTTATTTATTTATTTATTTATTTATTTATTTTTTTTTTTTTTTTTTTTTTTTTTTTTTGTATGCTAGCTTGTTAATAAGAGTTGAAATTAATAAATATTAAACAACTGATTTGCTTTTAAAACTTTATTATAAAAATTTACAAATTATCAAATGTAGTTAAAAGAAAAAAGCGCATTATGATTAAAGTAATTAATAAAAGCAAAATTCAATTGCAATAAAAATATTAATGAAATATATAGTTCTTTAAAGCATGATTATTTCTTTATAAGAATTTAAATTGACAGACATTCGGATATATATAAGTACACAACACAACAAAATTTAAATTAAAATATTATTTCTTTATACAAATTTAGGGGGAAAAGAAAGAAAAGAAAAGAAAAGAAAAGAAAAGAAAAGAAAAGAAAAGAAAAGAAAGGAAAAGAAAACAAAAAAAATTATTAAATAGCACATTTACATTCAAAGAAATGCTAACTTAACTATTCCCTATATGTAAAAAATGGTTGTAAATGATCGACAGTTAAAGGAGATAGAGCTAAGTCATCAATGTAATTCTTAAAGTGAGAAACAATTCTATACAAACTTCGTCTAACGGCAGAGCGAAGTGCTGTCAGTGTTTGCTTCAAAAATTTATCATCGCTCATTGGTTTTCTAATAGAAATGTTTAATTTTTGAAGCTTGTCTAACGACTGCTTGACGTTTAGTAGAACTTCAATTATTTCAGGCAAATCCTTTTGAACAATGCCATATGGATCTTCGTTCAATGAAACTGTAGCTAGTGTTGATATCGCATCCGCAGCCCAAATAACAGTTTGCGCATCGTTAATCGCGTGTCTCAATTTATTCTCAAATTGTTCTGCAAATATATAAGAAATCAATCTTTTTGATAAAAGATAGCTTATAAGATTTTTCTTTAAATTCTTGTAGTATTGTACAAGAAAATTATCGGTTGATATTTGTTTATTATCCAATTTATCGTGAATGGCTGTACCAATAGTTGGTGTAGCTGATACTAAATTTCTCATATGATAATTATAAAGCTTATCGGATGTTTGGGCACAAGAAATTGGTACGGTATTAGTTAGTTTTGGATTTTCTTCCTTTTGATTTGAACAAGCAGAATTAAGTCCTTCGGAAAATTTTTTTATCAAAGACAGACTTTTCTCAATAATATTGTTCCAATTATAAGGATGTCCTCCTGGCTGACTTAAAGTAAAAAGAATCGACCTTCTTGTTTTATCCTTTTGTGCTATTGTCACAAGATCCAAGTATCCTAATTGTCTTAAAATGGGAAATTTTTCCATTCCTAATGCATCGGCTAACGATATCTTAGACTTTTCGGTCAACTCAATTTTTTCAATAACAAACGGAATCCACTCGGTCAAGTAGGCTTGAAAAAATAAGTGCATACTTTGAATTATAAGGACAAAGAGTACAGCATGAAGCCAGGCGTAAAAAATTAACGATAAGCTAAGTAGCCTTGAGATTTTGTCAAGGGGTATATCTTCGATCGAAAGGGAAAAGGGAGAAGTAAAAAAACTTCTACAATAGTTTCCAAACGCAGAGTAAAAGCCAAGAAAATAAATTGTAGGCCAAACAGCATCTAATAAAGTATTTGTAATCATTATTTGAATGCCTCTTTTAACTTGCGACAACTTTGATCGAGGAATAATACAAAACTGCAAATTTCTCGAGTCTAAATAGCTGAAGTTTGTAAAAAAATAAAATCCAATCCAAAAACCTTCCAATAATAAAAAATAGTGCTCCTCGACGAGACAATAGCCTTGAAGGGTTTCGCAATTTTTGATAAGAGAACTAAATCTACTATCCTCGACAGATAAATGTAACCAGGCAAGAATGCCACCCAGTAATATGAAAAGACTACCCACTAATAAATTATGCATCGTAAAAATATGACAGAATTTTACAAATCGACTAGAGGCATACGAAATAGGATTTATGTAGTCTTTACTACAAATTATTCCTTGTAAAAATATGACCATAGAAAAGACCAAAAAGTATGTCCACATTCTTAAACATGTAATAACATTCCAAGTATCTTGTATCCATTCCACTGGATGTGTTATTTTTAAATTTGTAACTAATATTACACCACTCATTAATATGAAGTGGACAATGATACTTGCAGCAACTGCTAAAAACATTCGCTTCACCAATAGCTCTTTACATTTTGCTTTAACTATGTCTGCTGTTTTATCCATTTTTTGGCGTACCTATAGATTTTGAAAATTTATCACGACTTCTAAAAAAAGAAAAAAGAAAAAAAAAAAAAAAAAAAAAAAAAAAGCAATTAATCTTTTATTTAATATATAAATAATATATTTTCATTTAAATAATTCGCTCTTACGAGTTATAAGCATTATAACTTACTTCTTCTTAATCAAAGACCGCTACTTTCAAAAAGTTTAATAATACAGCGAAGAAACATTATTAATTAATAATTACAACGTAACCTAAAGAAATGTGGTTAATTCAAAATATACGAAGCCGGCAGCAGCGGCACTAACAGTTACATTTCGCGGTTTTCTTCATCACGTGCTGCCATCTTCGAAGAATTTCCAAAAACACCATCAGTATATGGATGAATTTTGATGAATTTTGATGAATTTTGATGAATTTTCGTTTAAAGATGCGTGCTGAACTTGCAGAACTGATGAAATTTAAAGAAAGAGAGGTCCTGGCAATTTAAGCATTCATTCTTATCATAAATGTTTTGTCTCTGTGCTTTAAGTGCGCATATCGATGAAATGCATGTAAAATAAAATAAAATTGTATCAACAGGTAGCGGTTCAAAAATACGTTTGTAATATTGTTTATATCGTTGTCAATTGAAAATGAAGGAGGACGAAGATGATACATTTGTTAGAGAATTAGAATTAGAGAGCTGTAATGTCACTCTGAAGTTTTTTCAAAAAAAAGTTGGTGATGTCAGTTGCGTCATTTGGGATGCAGCATTGGTACTTGCTAAGTACTTGGACTTAATTAGTCAAAACAGTAAATGGCTGCAAGGGAAACAAGTTTTAGAACTTGGAGCAGGTTTAGGATGCGCTGGTCTCACTGCATCGTGCTTAGGGTATTATTCATTTTAGTCTATTGTTCTCTTCGTTATTCTCATAATAAACTGCCTGGAATGTTATGCTTGTAGGGCACATGTCGTTCTGACCGATTTGGAAAGTGTCGTACCCATGTTAAAGAAAAACATTATTGCTAATGAAAAGCAATGGAGAGGGTCTGGTGGAACTGCCAAAGCTCAAATATTGGAGTGGGGAAAGAAAATTGATTTGGATTTTAAGCCTGAAATAGTTCTCTTAACTGATTGTATATACTACGAGGAGGTAAATACACGCAAACTAATTAAAACTTCATCGTTATTCACTTAATTTAATATTTTAGTCGATAAAACCACTTTTGGATACCTTAGAAAATTTATGCAATAGCGACAATGGAACGTATGCAATTTTATCGCAAGAAGAAAGAGAAACACCAAAACAAATTGCTATTTGGAAGGATTTTTTAACAGAATTGAATAATAGATTTAAGGTTAAAATTATTCCAATATCCGAGCAGCATCCAACATTTTCAAACTTCGATATTCACTTGATGAAGATTTTTAAGATGTAAATTTTAATTTAAACCTCCATTAAATAAATGTAAATAAAGCTTTATATCTTTTGATATTGTAAATTAATTATCAATTATTTTACGTTCTTAGAAATAAAGACAAATTTCAATGTTCAAATCTTTATTTTATTTTATCGTTGTATTTAATTTACTTAGGGTCATAGTCGATGTACACTTTCTAATAGTCGTTTTTTTTTTTTTTTATTTTTTTTTTTGTATTTTTATTTTTATTTTTTTTTTTTTATATATATATATATATAAATGATCGTTTATATTTAAATTAGAAAGGTTGGATTTGCATCTCATGCAATTTTTCTTTCAATTGCGAGTAACGTAGCTGTAACGCATTCTCCCTTTCTTTTTGACGGTTCACATCTTCGATTAGGGCATCGAGTCTTCTTGGAATAGCAGCCTCTTCTTGCGTTTGTAAAAATTTGAATGTAGACAATTCTAATCGGGATTGCTCAATCTGATCAACTAAATCTGTGAATTGTTTGACTAATACCTGTGCTCGATTCTAAAACACAGATAAATACAGATAGATTTTGAAAATGAAATGCTAAAACGCTTGTAACTTATATGGATAATAATAATAATAATAATAATAATAATAATAAAAGACAATTTACTTGATATCCTCCTAATAAAACTTTTAATTTTTTCTCCATCTTTGCTGCTCTTTTTGCCTCGCCAGTCATATGCATACGATTCTCTTCCAATTTCCTTTCGCAGGCTTCGATTCTATCCTTTTTAGAGGCTAAGGTAGCTCTCGTATACCTTTTCTGTGGTTCTAAATATAAAATCTAGAAAAAAATTAATTCTCATTTACAATGTCATACACAATATCTTATACTTATCGAATGTGCCCGGCAATGCTCTCCTTTGCTTCATTTTAATTACCTGCGATAAACATTCTTCCCAAACAGTGCAATAAGACTCCAAACTCAAATCCCCATGAGCCATTCCTTCTTTGACCACAGACATCTCGTCCGTTAATATATTTTTCGCCTACAACAAATATAATGGAGTATCCGAATATTAAAGTCAGATAATAATTAATGTAATTACTTTTTCAACGTCTTCCTTAGAATATTCCACATAGGGATGCTGCTCCAAATAGTTATGCGCTTGATTTATAATCGTCTGTGCACGTTTGTGATTGGGTTGCACAGGATTATGTAATGCATCGTAGTGCATCATCGCTATCATCTCTTGCTTAATTAATTCTTCGGCCTAAAAGTATTACACATCACTTGGTACAAAATTACTTTATTTTTATAATATTTCCAGAACATTTCTTACCTTTTGTAGGTCCGTTAAGGAAACTTCCGTCGACGGTCTCAAGACATTCATATTAACTTCATTTGGCCTTGGAAGTATTCTTTGAATGACCTGCGAGCGTTTGGCCAATTCTCTTTTCTCTGCAAAAGCAATTAATTGGCTGTACAGTCCAATAATAACACACGCTCGTTATTTTCATGACAATCATCAAAATTTATCATTACGTTGTTCCAATAATTCCTGTTGTTTCCTTGCATCGACATCCGCTTGATCCTCGACGATATTGTTTATCGAACCATCGAGATCTTCCTCATTGACCTCGTCTTCCGGCACGACTATTTCATAATCATTCTTCGGCGTCGGTAATGTATTAAAACTTGCTCTAAGCTGATCCTTCGTCTTGATAAAAAGAAAATCATTATTATACGATATGACCAATCGCCCATCTCCATAAATTAATATTGCCCGAGACATTAAAGCTCTATAATGCATCAAGCAAGCTTTATCCTTACGGCACTTGTGGTACTTAAAATACCCACTTGTTTCTGAACAATCGGCGTCTCGGATGCTTCTATCGCTTCCTCGGGATTGATGTTCAGCTTGTCGCGAATGGGAGTTTGAGCGGTTGTTGCATTTTGATGACGAACCAATCCTGGTGTATTGAATGGAGCCGGGGACGCGTCGCTTCTATGAGATCTAAATGGCGTGGCCAATACTGTGTTTGGTGTAGATACGATATTCGGGGTCGGCACGACGGTACTGAAGTCGGCATTGTTCAACGGTGTGTTCAGGCCACCTACGATTGAATTTGTCGTTGAAGAAATTCGTCGGGACACTTTATTCGATGGTGTATACTTGTATATCAACGGGTGCATTTGTCAATTTTCGATATTATATAATTGATTTGGCAATTCAATTGGATTTGTCATTCGCATATGTTATTAATGAATGACAAGAGGAGCGTGGAGTGGGGATGAAATTACATTTCCTGCATTAAAAAGCTAAGCAAACGTTTAATCGTAAGCTTTTCTCCGTTCTGTGAGTCAATTGTCGCAGTTTCGCATTGTCACAATGTCTTACTGACGATTACCTCATCGCTGCTTAATAATTAACAATGAGCTATGAGAGTCGTCTACCTTTTAGTGGGGTGTCGACGTGTGTTAGGGCCATGACGTTTTGAGCTTCTTGTAGAACTCTATCGACGACAGCTGGAGTTCTCGGGGTGATTGCTGTATTGGGCGTCAAGGAATAATCCGCGAGCAAACTATCGGACGAATGATTGCCACTTTCTAGCACGATCTCTCGAGCAGCCTGTAAAGAATGTCATAACTAGAGACTTCTAGGTTGAGTGTCGAGCACTTTTGCTATTATACGGACAAAGCAATAACTGTTTATTATCGTGTAGAATCATTGGTGAATTTTATGAAAAATTTATTAAAAGATAATGTCGCAATTTGGCGTTTCAATACTTAACAATGATTTGAAGATTAGAAATTAAGCTAGATATCGAAATGGGAGCTACGATGCATCGAATGATATTTTATTATTAATGGAATGAATAATACGGTACCTCGGAGGCTCGACCCAATTTCACAACTTGTTGCAATTCTCTATCGGATATTTGAGGTTCGGGAAGAACAAGTTTACTTCTTTTTTTCACGGGCTCTTGATTTAACATATTAGCTGGCATGTCATTTTCTTTTCTCTGCTTTAATTTTTGCTTGTCTTTCTTCCTCTCCATCTCTTCCTTCTCTTGCCAAGTCAATTGATTTTGTTGCTTTAGTTTTGAGAAATCGGCTGCTAGAGGGTCAATCTCTTCGGTGGACGTGTCATAAAACCCTTGAGCTGGTTTCTTCTCGAATGGTATTTCGGTATTATAATTTATTCCACGCTTTCGTTTATTTTTTTGCGCTACCGAAATACCCGCTGCTCTCAATTCTCTTCGCTTTTGTAAAGCAGCGAGTCTACGGGCCTCTTCTAGCTGCTTTTCACGAGCCTTCCTCTTAGCTTTCTTACCTTGTGTATTCGCCAGTCTTGCTCTAGCTTCCGATAGCATCTCCAGTTCTAAAAAAAATAATAATATTCTAGTAAATAAGTAGATAGATATTAGTCGATGTAACGATCGTTACGATTATAAATACGATACGTACCATCTTCGTCCATATCTTTGGGATCGGGACGAGCTGGCTTAGTCTCAGGGTTGGGATCTATCTCGCCGGGTTTCAACTTTCTTGGATCGTCGACGCTTTCGTCTCCTTCCTCCTTCTTTTGAGCTTGATCTCTATAAAAATAAAACATTATCGACATATATTTATTTTAACGTTTAGTAGCTTTATCGTTTAGTGTTTAATATAATATTATCATACGCTAATACAAAATTATCGTAACCAACTAAATCAAAGCAATTGCAAATCAAAACAACTCACAGTAAATATTCGTATCGTTCCAGACATTGCGCCGCTGTTCTGCCAATAATAGGCGCTATTGTTCTCCACTGAGTCGGCATTAATTTTGCCAAATGCAAAAGTTTCTCGTCCTCTTCTCTACTCCATTCCGTCTTTTTAATACTTGGATCGAGCCACTCGAACCATCTGGCTTTGCATTGTTTCGCAGATTTTCTGTGCAGAAGAGATGCTATACGACTCCACTGATTTTTTCCATATTTCATAACAGCTGCTTTGAGAATTTCATCCTGAAAATAAGAAAATAACAAATAAAAGAATATCCCATAAATAGTGTAAGGAAAAATCAAATAGCGAAAAGAATTTAAATGCTCATAATTTAACGAATACAAATCATTAAATAAAATGAGTTGTAGGTTAGAAGCTTACCTCGGTGTTTCGCCAGACACCACCCTTTATCATAATACGCGGCATTTTCGACGATTTTTCTCACGTTTATAATCAAACAAAGACTTTTACTCTACGTGAATAATAAAAATGCAACTATTTCACTATATATCAATATAAATAAATTACAAATAAACACGACGATAGACAAATACTGGTCGGACAGACATGTCCGCAATCCTCATTCCTTAATTGCCATTCGCCGGTTACATTCAACCTCGTATTTTGTATTTTAACAATCTACAGTCACTGCAATTGCGAACTTTAATGCAATTATTATCGGCCAGCGAATTAAAGGGCGACGTTGTTGTAATATGTGAATAATATTAGATTCAATTGCAATCGAGGTAGCCTCATGATAGACTGCATGGACGATCAGTGGATGATTACTTTTTTTCTTCTTACTTCTTCTATTCCCATTTATCGGATGGTCATGAATAATGGCGCCGGGAAAGAAAAATTCAAAATATAATTATAATTATTCGACCGTAGTTTTTTTCTACGTCAAATACGAGATAATACATTGGGTAAATATTGGCTGTTTAGTAAAGCTCGCACATTACAATCAAATGACTTATTAATCGATCGATGCTCATTAAATCACAGTTGCATTGAAATTATCAAAAGCCTTTAATCGATCAGAAAAAATATAACTAATGGCACTCCCTGCATTATCCGTGCAATGATCAAAAATCAAAATTACATAACTATGTTTCATCTAATGTTCTATTACTTCGTAATCTTAAATATTAATCTTCGACAATTTCGGGAGTCGGTCGAGCCCCTTGTACAAATTATCTTAAGAGGCCATTTAAACATTAACATTAAACCTTCCAATAGATCCAACATTTTATAGGTCGAAGGAGTAAAAATGGCTTATCGACCAATCCACTCATTTATTTTCCATGACGTGAGAATCGCGCGCGAAAATGCACAGTGTATGGCCTATTCGGCTGAGAGTAGAAAAGTTCTGCAGCAGGTTATCTTTTGAATCTAAAAACCGGAATACAAAACGAAAAAGGATCGACAGCTAATAAATACACCATTGTCGAGCCTTTCGTTTGTGTTAATATATCGAGAGGAGAAAATATGAAGTGCACAATTCCCGAAATTTCCTGGCACAATCGTGGCCCAGTCCTCAGTGTTGATATACAAGTTGGTACCTGCAAATCACCAGCAGGCGAAAGTTTTTGGAGACTGGCTTCTGGTGGTGCCGATTCACATGTTTTGGTGACTATTTCTCCTTTTTATAAATCCCAATTCTTTGCAATTTACGATCATTTTACCTCATTTCTAAGTATTACGATTTTAACAATCGTCTAACCGAATTTCCGTATGATATCAGCATCAATTATTTAAATTCCAACACGTAAGGAGAAATCAGTTATCAGCGTTGATAATTAGTGATTAGGAGATTATTTTCATAAGTTGTCGTATTTTAATGTACAGTGTAAAAACTAAGGCAAAAACAAAAAAAAAAAACAATATTGGAGTACCATTTTATTAGCGTGAAATATTTGTTGTCATAAAAAATATGTATGCATATATATATATATATATATATATACATATGTATAACACATCTTTGTTTAATTAAAGTGATATATAAGAATATATATTTTAATTGTAAATTTGATAGGCTTTAAATATAAATAATAACATTTTATTATAAAACATTAAATTATTTTAAATTACAAAGATCTGGCATGTTACGCTAAACGAAGCCGGTGAGGCGATAGTTTCTTGTGTAGCAGATTTAGAAAGGCATCAAAGAACGGTCAACGTCGTTCGCTTTTCACCGTCTGGAGAAATATTGGCATCCGGCGACGATGGTATAATAATTATTAACGTTACGCCTTATTTGTCCGTTTGCACTCTCTCGTCTAATCGAATTCCCTATAATGTTAACAATTTAGAGTCTGCGATTATACTTTGGAAGCAACGAGAAGGATTGGAAATTCCACTCGTTTCTGGAGACGATATTCAAAATAAAGAACAGTGGAATTCTTGGAAGGTTCTTCGAGGCCACATCGAGGACATATACGATTTAAGTTGGTCACCCGATTCAAATTTATTAGTTTCCGGTTCCTTAGATAATTCCGTCATATTATGGAATGTTCAAAAAGGCAAGAAAATCAGTATGCTCACCGACTATACCAAAGGCTTCCCTCAAGGAGTAACGTGGGATCCTGCGAATAAATACATTGCCACCATAAGTTCGGACAGGTTTGTAGAAAGTCTTACTTGCTTAAAATGTTAAGCTACCTCCATTACGAATTTCTCTCGAAACGTGCGTTATTTTTATTTTGTACTTCAGGCTATGCAGATTAATCGACGTTAATACAAAAAAAACAGTGCAGCGCATAGGTAAATCGAAAATGCCTACAGCCGCAGGACATCCACTCGAAGGAAAAGTCGTTCGTTTATTTTATGACGATACTTTTAAATCTTTCTTCAGAAGATTAACGTTCACACCAGATGGATCGTTACTCATTGTACCTTCAGGTATTATCGAGCCACAAGAATCGACTGAAAAAATAGCAAATTGCACAGTCGTTTTCTCCAGATACAATTTAAAGGAGTAAATATATTTTATTCAGTTTTAAGGCACTGGGCATATATTAATAATCTTATGATAAAAGTATGGGGGTAAATTTTGTTGACTTACGTATGTTACAGACCAGTGGCAATTCTTCCGTCTCTCGATGAAGTAACAAATGCTGTGAGATGTTGTCCGGTTTACTTCGAACTCAGAGATGATGGGCCTACGTCCATGATAGCCCTACCATATAGAATAATATTTGCCGTTGCAACGGATAATTCAGTTATAATTTACGATACCCAACAAATTGCTCCTATCGCTGTTATTTCTAATATTCATTATACCCGATTGACGGACATTACTTGGTGAGCTGCAGTTTAGTAAAAAAAAAAAAAGACTCGAGTACAAAATTTGTTTAAAGCCAATTAATTTTGACATTTGTTATGATTGTTCGTTAAAGGTCCTCAGACGGGAGATTATTGATAGCCTCGTCGTCCGACGGATATTGTTCGATAATAAATTTCCAAGAGGGTCAATTAGGCAAAATTTATAAAATAACTGAAGAAACATGTAGAGTCGAGGCGAAGGATGAAGTTAGGGAAGATAAAAACGACAAGACGCTGTTAACGCCAGCACCGTTTATAGAGCTTGATGTTAATGCCGTCGACATCGATATTTTACAACAAAAAAATATTGACAATGATAATAACGAGAAGGCAGGTAAAATGGACGTGGAGAATACAAAGAATGTGCAGGACACTGATGAAACGGAAGATTTTCAATTAGTTTTAGAAGACACGGTGGCAGAAAATCTTAAACCAAATGTAAAAGCCACTCCTCCAAAGACTGAAAAGCCACCGACAATGATCTCGGCAAGAACACCACGTAGGGTGCAGCTAATAACATTATCAAGTCCAAAAAGAACGAAAACCGAATGAATTTTTAATTGTTAAAAATATATATATATATATAATAATTTTTAGGGACAGTTATATGTGATAAAAACTCGTTAGAAGGAATTTATTAAAACAACCATTTATTCTCGATTTTGTTTTAACGTATAAAAGACGATACAAACTTTATACTTGATTTTTAGAGAAAAATTTCTTCTTATCCACTGGATTAGGAATAATCTGAAATAATGGAGAAAAAAAAAAAAAAAAAAAAAAAAAAAAAAAAAAAAGTTCTTTATAAATATTTTTGATAAAACGAAAAATACTTATAAGTATTTTTAATGAAGATGAAATGTCGATTATGAAATGCAATAAGATTAACTCTGTAATGATGTAGAGGTGTGAAAAATTTTATCTACAAGAAGCATTTTTTACGGTATCTTGTCCTGGTTTCCAGCCAGCTGGACAAACTTCCCCATGATCATCTGTATATTGAAAAGCTTGAACGAGCCTCAAGGTTTCATCGACCGATCGGCCAACCGGAAGATCATTCATTGTGATTTGTCGGAGAATTCCGTTTCCATCTATTATAAATAGTGCACTGAAAAAATGTTTATTATATAAATATCTATATATATATATATATATATATATATATATATGTGTGTGTGTGTGTGTGTGTGTGCGTGCGTGCGTGTGTGTATAACGTTGACTCAAAGTCAAAAAGTTTTGTATTCGATATGTTAAGGTAGTTTTGTAAGAAAAATATTGAGCATACCGAATAATGTTATGATGTAGTAATATAAACGACTAATGCTCAATAACGCGAACAATTTAGCAAAAATTCCAAACTCAGACTCTCGAACTCTCTAACTCACGCCTTTATAATTCACATGCTTAATATTTTTCTTAATAATAGTATCAAATGTGAATAAAGGTAAATGATGATGTTTTAAAAATCAAAGCATGTAATATAATTGAGGGGGGGGGGGCGAATGGGATGGGAGGGGGTTATTATATATATATATATTCTTTTCTTTTCTTTTTTTTTTATTATACTGAAAAGAGGATGGGAATGTATTTATCGCAGTATTTATGGATTAGTGACGAATAACGAAAGAGTAATAAAGGAAGAAAAATTAACAAGGAATTATATTTATATTATATTATTATCTCTAGTATAATTCATCTTATTTGTACGTTCATTATTAATATTATTAATCTATTCAATAATGAAAATGATACTCCTATATTTTTACACAACGGAATAATTATACATATTTAGATTAGAATTAATTTTTCTTACTATTATCATAAAGAAGTTATTAAAATTAAAACAAAATAAAGCAAAAACAAAAATAAAAACAAAAAACTAAAGAAAAAAAAAAACAAAAAATAGAAAAAGAAAAATAAAGAAAAGTAGTATTTTATATAAAGACAAATTTTTAATAAATAATGTTGAATGTAATTTACAAGTTACTATTATTACATATGTAATGAAACAATCGTATGCTTTATTCGAATCAAATAAACGGTTATTAATAATCCCAATCGTTCGAGTCTTCAATTATTTCATTATTTCATTAAAATGCCCATATATATATATATATATATATATATATATATATATATATATATATATTATAATGATGTGTCAAGTTACCGAAGAGTGTGGCCCAAGTCGTCCAGATAAACGCCATAATCTTTGGCAATTTTATGAGTGAGGTCGGAAAGTAGGGAAATCTTAATGTTTCCAAGACCGCCTTCTTTCCTCGGAGTATTAATCCATGCCAAATGAGTAAATTGCGAGTCGACGGATGCGGCCACGACTTCGACGTTAAGTTTTTTGAATTCGTCTATTCGGTCGGAGAAGGCCAATATTTCTGTTGGGCAAACAAAAGTGCTGGACAAAGATGGGAGTCAAGCACACGTTTAAAACCAACAATAAATAATTCATCGTGACGGATTATTAAATTAAACTTACAAATCAAGAGGATAAAAGAAAAATACTAAATATTTTCCTTTGTACTGCGTAAGCTTTATTTCTTTGAATTCTCCTCTAACGACTGCCGTTCCTTCGAAATACGGCGCCTTCTTTCCAACTGTTAAATATTGAAATTTAAATTTTAAATGATTTTCTGGTGGGAGGGCGAGCAGAATTTTTTTTCTTTTGTTTGAATATTTTCAATAAAAAAAAAAAAAAAAAAAAAAAAAAAAAAATAAAAAAAAAATTGAAAAAAAAAATTTTCCTCGCCAATTCATTCGTTGATATCGTGATATAATGCAATGCAAACTCATATAGAATCGATTGCATAAATATTACACGGATGGACCAAAAATACATTCTAGCAGTATTTAATGATTATTGTAGAAGCTTTAACGGTACGAGAAAAAGGTATCCTATATACAATTTTCATTTCCATTAAATAAAAGTCTAATGTTTCATGCAATAATAGGATAATAAAAGTTTGCGCAAAAATCTCATGCTAATAACGTTTAATTGCCTACGATTTTTCTAGCTCATAAAAGTGCTCGTAAAGGTCGAAACCCCATATGGAGCCGTCATCTTTAATTATGGTGGCGCACATTTTTCTATCGGAAACATACTCGCAACGCGAATATTCTTCTTCCAACTCCCACATCGCGCATTCGTTATTCAACTGCTAATTATCTGAAAAATTAAACATAAAATTCGTGTGCCCTCGAGTACGCTCGAATCGCGATTATTAATGCTTACGCGACTCATTAATCACGGCGAGGTGGAAAACCATTTAAAGCTTAAATAAATAAGCGCTTATTTTCCTATTCGATACATTGATATGGTTTAATAATCACTTAATTGCGTGAAAGACTTTCTATGGCTAGACGTGACATAGCGACAAAAATGGACCGGAGACAGACTCTAATCGCTGTACAAGTGTGTTCACAACATCGTGTAAGTGGCTTTTTTTGTTTTTTGTTTTTTGTTTTAAGTGCGCTCGGTCTTTTTGAACAACCATATTGCAGTTTTAACGTTCACTTTTTTTTCCTTCAAACCGCGTGTACTTTTGCAGCTTTGCTGCGTCACCACCAAGCGCGCCCAATCGACAAGAATATTATACAAATTACCATGTTTATGCTATTTCAAATGCAAATCCTTGCAATAACTTTGGTATTCATTTTTTTAGGTAAAGAGAGAGAGAGAGAGAGAGAGAGAGAGAGAAACAAACAAAACACAATAAGATGAAAAAAAAAGGAAAATCTAATGATGCATATCGATCGATGACAGATTGACAAGGAAGGGCTTATTATGGGCGCAGTCTTCTAACGTTGCAATGATTTGTAAAAATAAAAATATGAAACAAAGCACCGAATGGTGTCGTTATCGGCTATAGCAAATAATTTACACGATGGTTTAATCAACCGGCCGGGTTCGCGACTAATGTAAAGCGCTTATGGAAATTCAATCGGTAAACGTATGTTCCTTAGAATCCCACTCTTTTCGTGTCTTTAGGACCTTTTAACATCGTTTAGGCCTAAAGATACGCGAGGGATCTCTTGTCGCGCTCTACGGAATAGTCATTGAAAAAAATAACGTACGCGCGATATTATTAGGCTAAATGTTAATTCGACTATTCTCCGTCTTTGTTATGTACTCGTGGGACTTGGGTGGGCGGTCTAACATACGCGTAATAATAACAGAATCGGCTTAGAAATTCATCTTTCGGAAGCAAGTGGAGGAGGAGGAGGAGGAGGAGGAGAATGGCCTTGAAACTCACTGACAGCCTTGGTCGTGTGCAGCTGGTGACCGTCGTGTTTCGAGCTGCTCGGATAAACGGTGCCCCCGGCGAACGAGTAACAGGTCTCGTCCTCCTCGATATTCGTGGCACCGTCTCCGCGCATCAGCTTCCCCGAGGCCACGACGACGTATGCGCAGAGAAGCGAGAGGCCGCCGGCAACGCTGACACCACCTACCCTCGACCTCATCTTCGACAGTCGCGGCTGCGCCTCGGTCGCGTCGAAGACGTCTCAATGCCGTTGATCGTCAGCCGCTCCTGACCAACCCTTCCTTTCGCTATGATTATCAAAGGCCAGGAAGCCAAGGCGGATACTACGTGTGTGTCCCGACTCCCCGCGGTATTAGGAGCGCATACTATTTATTTAGTAGATCTTGTGCTTACTGGCTGCTTTGGCTTATCGGCACTCACCGTGTCGCCGCGGGGACCACGACGACGCTGTCACTCGCGGACGCCTCCGGTTGTTTACACTGGCTGGCACGCTGAGCGATTACGTGTGCGATCGCCCCTCTACCACAGCCACGTTCAATTCGGCCGCTCGTTGCCGATGTATCGCACACGACAGCGGAGACGGTTTTTTTTTTTTTGAGGTTAGGAACGGCGCGAAATTTCGTTTCATTTTTGGCTCGGATTTCTAACGTCAACGAGTGACGACGGGGTTTGCGATGAGGATACGACTTCTCCACAATGCGACCGTGCGTTTGCCTGCCGGTATGCGGCTCGACGCTAAACGGAGACAAAAATAAGTAGATAAATGGATGGATAGCCCACTAGCTAACTATATATATATATATGTAGGTATAGGTATAAGTATAGAATGTAATAGATAGAGATAGATAGTTTGATTGATAGATTGATAGATGAGTATTAAGAGAGAGAGAGAGAGAGAGAGAGAGAGAGAGAGAGAGAGAGACAGTGAATCGCTCAAATTTACGTATTGCAGCACGCGCGATTGATACTTTACGCCAAGAGTTAATAAAAGAAGATAAATCATTACAATCTGCGAGAAACTTTTTAACGAGAATTGAATGGTACTTTAGCATTTAATCACGTAACTCGTTACAGTCAATATAATTGACAATTATCTATATTTGTGAAATGTGTACACTTTTATTTGGTATAAATAATGTACAAAGCAATTTATTATTAATTATTATTAACTAGATTGTCGATCATATAATTCAAATAATTTCGAATTTTTATAATTACATATATATATATATATATATATATATATATATATATGTAATTATAAGCTGTCGATTATTCGATATCGTTTTTGTAGACAATTTTATTTATTCGTGTACCTGCTCGTTTAGCAACGACGATTGAAATATGCAATTATATGACTCTTTCATAATATTTAATCACAAATTTCACCTACCATACGAAGTTAGTAGGTTTATTATTATTTTGGTAATGTGCCATCTATATGTATTTTTAACTATTTCGATATTAACATATATTCTACGATTGCAATGACGATTTTGCCTTAGTAATCGGTTTTATTTTTAATATCATGTCGCGATACTATAAATATCCATGATTTATAGTATCTATAAATAGCAAGATTTCTTAATAAATTAATGAAGTCGATAACGAGAAATTATTAAAAATTATAAGCAAATTATTACCAACATTTAATACTTAACTCTTTCATTTCTTTTCTCACATATATTGTGATACCTTTTAACAATATTTATATTAATTATAATGCTCGGTAATTTTTTCACATTTTTCAAGTTATTTCGAGTGATATCTATAGTTTAATACTTTTGTACTTTTTGAAGAGTTTTGAAACAAAATTAACTAGAGTACATAATTCTATGGCATTTGTATTAGAATAAAATGATTTTAAATAAGTAAAATGAAAGAAAATTATTATTAGTTTATGTAATTATACTTTAGTTTTACGATAAATTATTAAACTTTATTAATTAAAATTTTCGGATTATTGCATTAATTTTTAACAAAATTATATAGCTAATGATAAGCTATTGAAAAAAACAACCGATAAAATGGAATTCATCAATACATGATATTGATTTCATCTTTGGATTATAACATTTTACATTTGAAGCGATAATAAAGTTGAATAGGTAAAGATGCTTTATTACAGAACAAAAATATTGATTATCACATCATTTTGTACGAATATCTTGTATTTTAAAAATGTCATTAATTTTGACGATGTGATGTATATCTATCGTGATCTAGCTTTACACGTTAATAATATCTAATTGAAAAATCAACACTCCATACTTAAAAAAAAAAAAAAAAAAAAAAAAAAAAAAAAAAAAGAAGACCAAATAATTGTACAGTGTTGAACGTATATATATTTTTTCTTTATTACTCATCATCGAGTTTTTTTTTTTATATTGAAATTTAATGTTTTGTAAATTCGTACGGAAATAATGAATTTTGAGAAACTTTTAATAAAATTTACGATTCACTTTAAGTTGTAAAATCATCGTGATAAAAGCTTTGATGTGATAAAAATAAAAATTTTGTAAACAAAGTAACTCTAGCATAATTAATCGTATTAATGTGGTATTGTCTCAGGAATCGTTAAACCAAGAATATAAAAGAATAATACTACTTTTGAGAATTTTATATCAGAAAGGAAGAACGTCGACCGTTTATTGATTACAGATAACAATTTCATTTATTATTAAAAAATAAGTTAATTTGAAGACAATAATGAAACAAAGCGATATCTAATTCATTTATTAATTTATCTATAAAATAATGTACAGCAGATGAGCTTTACTAGGGGTTATAGTGCACTAATGCTGAAAAATCTTATTTAAAAATTTTATTTTACTCCAAGAACAGAATTGTTCAAATGTATGACGAAAAATATAAAAATACATTTTATTCAATGTATTAATTAAACAACGCATTTCATTAAAGTATAATAAATTTTTCTAATAGCAATATTAATAAAAGAAATGTTGCTTCGATAACTTTAGTATAACGTAATATAATAATAAACATTACGATGAAACATTAAGAAATTGTTACAATTGGTTAATACAGCTCTTTGAAAGAAGTATTTAATTATTAAGCGGAAACATTAATTAATATTAACTGTTAATTATTAAATTTCCAATGAACATGATAAATATGTAATAAGTGTTAATGATTATGAAATTCTATTAATTTTAATTAGTTAAGGTAGTGAATAAATTTCATTTGACAATAATAATAATAATAAATTTTAATTTATTTAATTTTTTTTTTTGTTTTTTCTTTTTTGTTTTTTGTTTTTGCTTTTGTTATAAGCAATCTTGAGAAATTGATATCATTTAAGTATGAACTTTATTCATACATCTGCAACATCTACTTACAATACGCACATTTATATTCAACAATTAGGAATTACATAGATTTTCTTTAAAAACTATGTAAATTTTACATGTATTTGTATATGGTGAATGGTAGATAGTGTGTTATTTTTATCGAAATTTAAACTATTTAGAGGTGACACATTTAAACGATGCTATCTACAATATATCATTAACAGCCAAAAACTCTTCGCGAGTCATAAAAATATATTAACTTGTCATTTTTGTACTTTTATATAGATCGTGATAAAAACTATATTTATTATACGTTCACGCATATATCCTAAATGAATAGTAATTTATGTACAAACATTATACAAAATAGTAACAATAAAAATAAACAAACAATTTAATTACATTAAAAATTTATATACATATATATATATATATATATATATATATATAACAATTTAAAAATTCTATAAATAAATAATAAATTGTATAAAAATTCAAATATTATTGTACATTTTTTTCTTTTTGTAACCAGCTATCTTCATTTATTTTTCTACTTTTAGTATATTTAATTATAAGATAATTATTATTCTCAATTAAGTGACAAATAAAAATACTTTTTCTTATGCGAATAATCGTATTTCATCATGTTATGTATCAATCGACATTTCTTTTAACAAATAAATATGACATGTATCATTGTATCATTATCATTGATTGTGACTAGTAGACTGCTATTAGATAGCTATATTAGTAAAATAAAGTAAAATAATAAACCGTTACAAATATTTCGTTACACAAAGAAAGGTCTATCTATCTATTTAATAGTTATAAAGCCTTTAAGAATTTTGTAAATTCTCTTGGGGATTTATGAAACTGGCTGGTTCTCCTTGACACATGGTGTTTATTTTTTTGTCAATTTTTTTTTTTTGTTTTTTTTTTTTGTTTTTTTTTTGTTTTTTTTTTTGTTTAAATAATATTCTAGAAAATGATGTCAATTCAATAATTTCAAATATCGTACTCAACTATATATTGTCAATATTATTCTTTCGATGAAAATTCTTGGCATCTGAGCGTAGCTGTTTCGACAGCGTCCATCAGAGCTGCTCGGAAACCATTTTTTTCTAAACTGTGAATCGCTGATATCGTTGAGCCTATATTAAATATAATAATTGGTAAATCAATGTTGCTTTTATGAATTTTTATATCAAACTTTAATGCCGAATTGCTAAATTAATTTATATCTTTCTTTTTTTCTTTATTAATACATTATAACGTAATATCATAGTAATTGAAAAGAATTTAATGAATTTTTTCCCTTTATTAATATAGAGCAATGTAAACTTGGATGAATACAATGAAACCACGAGCATGGAAAAACAGCGGCAAACTCGAACATAGTTAATACTTAAGCTATTTGCAGTAATTAAAAAACATAAAAAAAAAAATAAATAAAAAAAGAGAAAAAAAAAGAAAAAGAAAAGAAGAATTTGATATTAAATGAATCCAGAGTACATAAGATGTCTTATCTGAGGCGAATAAGATACGAATTAAGCCTTGATTATATGCCGTTTAATATTGAAAATTTTGAAAAACAAATTATAATCGCTGCTTATACAGGCAAGAGGATTGAAAATGCCTTAAGAATGAATAAACTAACCTGCAGGTGAGGAAACGTCGTCCTTTAATTGGCCTGGATGAATGTTTGTCTCTCGAACCATCGTACCGGCGCCCAGGACAGTTTGGGATGCCAACTTGTAGGCGAGGTCTCTCGGTAGTCCCATCTTCACAGCACCGTCGGCCATTGCTTCAATTACCATGTAAATCTGCGAGATAACGCGCACGTGGTGAGTTACGGATTTAGTATTAAAAGATATAATAACGAAACTGTAGCTTTACATTGATGAATGACAAATTGCTTTCCTTAATATATTTAAATATTAGGTGTTTTATATAGATTTATCAAAGTCACTTTTAAGCTATCTTTGCATATTGGATTTATTAAGATTTTCGTTGGTGTCGATGGGTGAGTCAAGAATATAAGAAGCAATCGATTTATTCTTAAATACGGCGTCGGACAAATTACATTGTACGTACGTCGACATTTAAAAGCCTCGTATATCGGATTATCAAGCCGAAGTCGAGCGTGATAAAAGCCGATAAAATCAATCGATTCGTCTAGTTTACCAATTTCTTTAGTAGATTCAACAATTAAAGCGAATGCGGATTAAGCTTAGGCAAACAAGACATAGGTAAGTTTCCATACAAAGCCCGATAATAAAGGGCAAACATCGTCGACTTAGCTAAATAAACGTGGGGCGATGGTCATGAAAAACACATCAACTCCGGCTAAATGATTACAACTGCTTGAGACTCGAATGTAAAATCACATTGTTTTTTTTTTTTTTTTTTTTTTTTTTTTTTTTTTTTTAATTCTATCAACAGCTACAATAGTACTGTTAGCTTGTCAAGGTCACAATCGTCAAAGTGCCCAATTGTTGGCAAGTTTTAGCCACAATCCATGGCGAGTTAACTCACGTAAGCGGGTCCTGAGCCGGCGAGGGCCGTGATCGGGTCGATCATGCTCTCGGGTACCTCCTCGCAGAGGCCAACCGCGGAGAAGAGCCTCCTGGCGATCTCCGCGTCCTTTTCGCTGGCGTGTTTGCCCCGTACGTAGACCGTCGCGCCGCAACCCACCACCGCCGGTATGTTCGGCATGACCCTGACGATTGGCGTGCCCTCCGGTAGGCTCTGTAGAACCAAGACATTGATGCTCGGGATTAATCGTTGGGGTTGGAATTAAGTCGAATTGACAGGAAGTGTTTTCATGTAAGACTTGAAGAGTCTTTTTGAGCGTTCGTGCGTAATATTCGGTCGAGACTTATTTTGTTTAGGGATAGGAGGAACAAGATTAACATTGATATTTACATTTTCTAATGTTTTTAAAGAGACTCCCATTGCTATAGATAGGAGCAGCTTCTTTTTGCTTCGAAAGCACTCCTTCAGTTCTGGTAAAATTAGTGGCACGATTTGTGGTTTTACAGCCAAAACCAATATGTCGCCGTATTTAGCCACTTCTGGATTTGAGAAGACTGTTTTTGATCCTAATTCCTAAAAATGTTCAGTCTCGTGTTATTTTTTTTTTTTTTTTTATTTTAGAAACAGTAGGCATGTAAGTAATATTATAATCTAAAATTACTTTATTACGGCTATTTTATTCATTTGCAAAAACAGCATAAGTTTATTAAAGGGAAAAAAGAGAGGAAAAAGAAAATTATACAATAGGCTATAATTATATAATTAGTGCTAATTAAGCAGAATATTGCAAAACTTAATGAGAATTTCATCGAATATTTATTATTAACGTAAGCTTTTGAAAATTGCTTCTAAAATTGCTAATAAATATTTTAACGACAATTCGTGTCGTCTTATAATTTGAAACAAAAGATGAAGTTTAATTATTTTTAACTCATATTATTTAATATCTGTAAAATATTTACTTTATCAATTTATAATTTATGATTTTTCAGAATTCATTGAAATTTAACAATTCTTAATTTGTTCAATTGTTCACGATTTAATCGTTGCCTTATTCTATCTTGCAAAGATGAAGTTATTCTTTAACATAGATAATAAATACGGATAGTTAAGATAAAAAAAAGAAAAAAAAATAGCTATTTTAATATTCTATAGATTAGTGTTAGTGTAAAAGGTATTGGTTTCGATTTTGTGTGTTGGAGACATTGAAGAGAAAAAAAAAATGTATAGGTAACATTTGTAAATTATAAATTTGGTTAAATAGACGAAAGAATAAAGAAAACGAATAATATATGTAGTATCTTTCATATTTCGCATAAGCATGCACACTAGCATAAGTCTAAAAAGTGTCGAAAGGAACTTCTAAATAATACGATAAATTATTGCTTATCAAATGCGCATGAAACTCATGCAAGTCCATGTGTGTAATCGGACGAAGTGACGAGCAATGACAGAATATGTGGCGAATAAAAATTAAAAATAGTACGAATACCGTCGATCGACTCCGATTCATCGAACATTAGTAATGAAAGATCATATTTTTAACTTGGCACGCGCGCACTTTTATCCAGGAAGAGAATAAAAGGCGCGACTTGGTGAAAATGATTCCCACGATAATGACCGGACGGGCCTATCGTTAATTACCAAGGGGCATTGAGCCGCACAAATACACGTCCCTGTCTCACAGATAGATAAGCAATAACTTTCTTATTTATAGATAAGCTAAGCCGAGATTATTGAAATGCAATCTGGAAATTTTCCAAGCCACATTTGTAGAGTTTGGTAGTGCCGGCGCCCGGAAAATATGCCGCCCGAAATTCGCAATCACAAGCACTTGACGATATCTCATTAATACGACTATGCGTGTTATTTCATTTTCTATTCGTTAGTTAATAATTGAATAATTTCGTCAGATTTTATGCGATTGTTGAGTCGAGACGAGCACTTAATACACCGCATCAACTATTAATCGAAGGAATTTCTATCTGCATCGATGTATTTTTACATTTTTACTTTCATAATGCCATAGACGTGCGCACGAACTTCAGGTTTTCGTTTTCTCTAAATTTCAATATTAGTGTTCGAATATTATAAGCATTATTATTAGATGGGACTGGAAAGTTGTTAGTTTGAAGTGTCATACCATTTGCAAAGCCTATGGGTATTTCAAAAAGTTCCATTCCCAACGGTAAACAGTCAGACACTGTCACGTGGACAAGAGGAAGTCGCTCCCCGAAATTCCTCCTTTCCTGCAAAATCTACAAGCTCTCACAATTGTTTTATATTTCCATGAGTAATTCGGAATTGTGAATATTGACGTAATTAAAATGGTACATCACAAATCAATATTCCTAATTATATAAGTAAAGATTTGCACGATTTTTTTTTTTTTTTTTTTTTTTTTTTTTTTTTTTTTTAATGTACCTACAAGTTATCATCATATGCTTATCGAAACGTCGTGTACAATGTAATCGTATAAAATAATCGCGTTTTATAATTTGTATAAGTACACATTACGAAAGTTCCTTTATAATTAAAAGAAAAAAAAATTCATCAACGTGTCGACTTTAAGGTGACAAAATATGAAATATAAATACAATTGTACAGTATATAGACGAATGAATATGAATCAAATATTAAAATACGTTTAGATTCGTTATAACGTAGAAGTTCCTTATCTTTAACATCTTTGTTCTTCTAAATATTTCTAATGACTTTCTCACGTTAGAATATTCATTAGACAAATTTTTGTCACAGAGACTGAAATAAATAACAACAATAATAATGACAATAATAATTAATAATAATTAATAATTAATAATTAATTAATTAATTAATTAATTAATAATAATAATAGTAAAAATAATAATAATAATAATAATAATAATAATAATAATAGTAGTAGTAATAATAATAGTAATAGTAATAATAATAGTAATTAATAATAATAATTAATAATAATTAATAATAACAACGACAACGACAACAACGACAGCGATTATAATAGTAACGATAAACTCAATAACAATAATTTAATAATAAAGAAATAATAATTGTTGATTGTTAAAAAATTAAACGAATTTCATAAAATGCGCGTATCTTGTTGAAAACTAGAGAACTGGTAAAACTCTCAAATGCGTTTTTTTTTTTTTTTATATCTTTCGTTAATATCATTATGATAACTTCAATAACTGTACATTTTATACAATAAAGCCTCTATATCATTGTATTATTGGAATAATATAAATTTAGTAATATAAATTTTCTACACGATTCGACTCGTGAAACTTATATTGATTTTACTTATACACAAAAATAATTTTAGCCTGTTAAAAATATTAGTTTACGTTAAATATAATTAAAAAATTGTTAGCAAATCTATACATTTGTATCCGAAGGCAAATTGTTGATATTATTATGAGAAAGAATTCAAGCGACGTTTGTATTAGTTATTAGCCCCAATAGTTGAAAGAATTATCCAACATTATAAATTTAATACATTATAAAAAACAATTTACCTGGAATCCTTTTATGCTGATTTCGTCGGTTGGAAGGCAACTAGCAAGCATCATTTCTCCTTTCGATAAGCCTGCCAAAATATTAATTTACATTTGCATTCTATTCTTATCCACGATTTAAAACTGTCAAATAATTATTTTACTTATGCTGTTTTGTATAAAACGAATATTATTTAAATTAGAGTTCCGTCAACTATAATTGGCCATCAATTTATAAAGTATATGAATAATGTATGGACAAAGTATAGGAATAAATACGAGGGAACAATATGGTTTTAATATCATTTTCCGTACAATGTGGCAGGCGTTTTTGAAGTAAAAAAAAAAAAATTGAAGTAAAAAAAAAACTTTAAGAACCCTTTCATCACCGACTCTTTAGCAGAAATTTATTGTAAGAGCAGCGACACTTAGTCTCCGAGATGAAAAAGTCAAAACAGCCGATTTGAGATATTACCTCATCTCTCTCCAAATAGAAACAAAAAATCCGAGAGTGACAGAGTGAGAGATAGTCAAGTTATTATCAATATGACATTAAGAAAACTATCATTATTACCTGCTTTGATGAAGCCTTTGGCCAGGGCTTGAGCCATTTTCCCACCACCAACAAAGCCGATTTTCATCATTGTCCACTAGTATTGATCACGGACACTGAAAAATGTTGCTAATTAATTGTGTCGCCGATCATACTGCCATCGATGCTTACGCGCAATTTACAATATTTCCACTCGAATGTGACATTACTACGGTTTTTCAGAAAATCTTACGAGACTTTACGATCGACGATTGCTAAACATCGTCACATAATTATATCAGCTTTTTTCACACTGTAAGTTGCAGAACTTATAATCATTTTACGCGATATACTTATTATTACGTCTAGTTGAAACTCTAACCTACAAAGCAGGTACTCTCTGCAAATAATAACAACTGCACGTGTTTCCTAAAGATAATGTAGATAAGCGAAATTTCAATAGTTTTACTCTTTTACTTGAAATGCCATGTCCACCTTTCTTCCGACGCCCATTCGCAATTTCCGCGAATAATTTCTTCCCAAAACTCCGTAACCAACACCGCGGCTAACACTAATTACAGTGCGCCAATATTAAATTACTTACGAGAATTATTACATAGAGCACTGTGGCGAACTATTCTAATCATAATATATAATTTGTATCACTTATTATGTAGCTTTTACACGCGGTTGCTCGACTTCTTTTATCGCCACTGAGAATTTTCGTTCCTTTATTGTATAATTTTATTATCTCGAATTCTTGGGAGAAAATTTTTTTGATTTGACCGATTATCTTACCGTAAGCTAAAAAGAACAACTGCTTTTAATTCTAATTAATGAACGCTTTATCTTTATCATTATTCTGTTTTCGAAAACGGTTTACCATCCGATGATATCTAATCAAAAGCAAGCGATACCCACACAAGTGCTCTCTCAATGTTTACATGATTATTTTAATTAAACTATTATCTTGTAATTTAAAAATACACATTTAAGAAAATGAATTTTATGTATCCGAACAATAAAAAGTCCGCTCTTCTTCGTCTTCTTCTTCGTCTTCGTCTTCGTCTTCTTCTTCTTCTTCTTCTTTTCTGTCATTAGGTTTTTTTTTATCCATTTTTTGCTTTTGTTTTTGTTTTTATTTTATAACAGAACCTCCTTTTGTAACAGATAAAGAAATGTCTTTCGTAATCAGAAGTGAAAGAATTACATGATATGATAAACTTAACCGTGACGACCCTTCGTCATTATATCAATAATTTTTGCCTTCGATAATTTGCAAACTAAGAAATAGATAGACGTGAGTGGGAGTCGAGGACGCAAACCATATACCGACTCCTCGACCTTCTCCCGACAATCAAAGGGCCTTAACAACAATATGAATAAGGAGTGAGCGCGCGATTCCCCCCCCCCCCCCCCCCCCCCCCCCCCCACCCCAAATGCCCCCCCCCCACTACAATTGCCCGGCCCAATTGCCATCACCATTCCTCTTTTATTAGCCCCTCCCACCCTTGCCGGCGAATGAATAGTGGAAGGGCGGATCGCGCGTTACCGAGCTGCGGATACACTTACGAACGAGGAGGTAAGTCGTTGCACAGAGGATCAAAGCTCCAGGCGCAGGATCGTGAGGAGCGCGGAAACAATACACGGCCGGCTTACTCGAGTGAGTGATGCAGATAGACTGGAGTCCGGGTCCGGAATGCGGCCACTACTTATAATAAAGTTTAGGCTCGCTGCGGCCGCGGAACCGCCGCCCGATAAGCGATGTTCCGGCCGAGCGCATCCCGAGAGCGAGTGCATCCCCGGATTCGCAGGGTCCTCGGGCCCAGGAGCGCCCGATTTAAGAACGCGAGCTCGCGAGTCGCAAACTAGAACCTCCTTCGGAGAATTCAATTCGTGGCGGTTTTGTGTTCAGGGTGCCGAAATCCTTCGACTGGCCGTGCGTAATTTCTTGAAATTTCTTGAAATCTCGTTATTATCGTTATTTCGTTATTATTTGATGGCAAAAGCCGGTTAGATGTATAATTACACTGGATAGAGTGTAATTAAAATGAAAGGAGGGCGGTTAGTCGTTATCGGGGGATTAATATCGATTAATATCATCAATTTTTTGATACTTTGAGACGATATTATTCATCAATTTTGTAAGAAAATCGATGTCGCCCATTAATTTATATGGGGACTTTTACTTTATATGGGAATTTACGTGAAATTTATATGAACGAGGGAGGAGATACGTGAGTCGTGATAATGGAATGTTCACCTAATTAGTTTTTACTTAATAGGCATTTCTCATTGATTAGTCGCGTTTAACAAAGATTATGCGTGTACTTATGTTGTAGCGTTTCTTACAACTTTCATGATTATTTACTTGTTAGCGGCAATATTCTTGGTAGACGAAGAGCACAGTCATTCAAGTGCATATTGCTGACAGAATTGGCAATTAATTAATTTAATTGTAAAGCAGCAATGTTGATTTGCCAATGCAATACGGCAAAGGTATTATGATTTTGTCATAATTGCCGATTATTTACGATTAATTACGGATGGTAGGATGGTCGGATGGTACCTTTTATTCGCATTGTTTAGAAAACTTTAAAATTTTCCTTACCTATATCTTTGCTTTCTTGTTCAGAGATAAAATTTCTATCAGATACTTAGCTCTTTATCAATCCGAGAATTATTGAATAACGTGCGAGATAAAGATAAAATGATTGCAATGCTGACGCGCAAGTGCAATTTTTTGTACGTAAAAGGAGACACAATGATTATCGTTAGTAGGTATATATTCGTCAAGAGATCGATAGAGATAAATGATATTAGAAACAGAACATTTTGGATTTTTCATTTGGAATGGCGTTGGAACATTAATTGTTGAAATTCATTCATTCTTCTTCTTCGCAATGCAAATTCAGTTCGTAAACATCATTATATAAGTTATAAATTCATATGCAAGATCGAACGATCGAACGATCGAACACAATAATAAAATATTAATTATATGAATAATGCAAAGTAGCGAGCAGCGCAATCAATAATGATTCTTTCATTATAAAATTACTTCGACATGTGAATATTGTGCATATTTGTGATATGCGATATTTCCTTGTAAACATCAAGGCTTTATTATCAAATAAAGAGATCGAGTAATGTGCGTTTTCAAATGACAATATGCAAAAGCAATTCGATTAATTTTTGTCTAGCCGAGAAGTCATAACAAAATTACAATGAACAAAAAAAAAAAAAAAAAAAACTTAATACAAAGAACATAAAATTGTTCATCAGCGTGTATGTATAATTATGATTAATAAGGTAATTAAGTGGTTAATGGAAGTGCGATTATTAAAAAATATTGGCCATGAATCGAGCGATATCTGTACGAGCTAAGAAAAGAAATAATATTATTGTTTAGTATTAAAAAATGGTACTTACGACAAGTAAGAGTTATTATTATTATTATTATTATTATTATTATTATTATTGGACTGTTTGTTGCGATGAGCAATGTAATATATATATATATATATATATATATTTTTAACGAGAAGCTGCGCTTATTCCATTTTATTTTTATTGTGAGGGTTATCGCACGTTGGTGACCCGAGTGGAGGAATCGCATTGGAATCGGTGAACTTTATTTACAAGTTTTTCTTTTTCCATCCTGTATATTGAGACATGAGATTGAAAAGTGTTGCGACATGGATTGACAGTTGTTTGTGTCGGGAAGTTGTATCGAGTGAAAACTGAGTTTTAGTCTTGGGTCCAAGGTCTTGCAGTTTGTTTTATTAGATTTGCTTGCACACGTGCTGTCCTTTCTCGGTAGGAAAACTACGCGTATTCCTTAATTCTATTCAAATTATTTGAGTTTTTGTCTGTTAAGAGGAAAAAAAATAATAATAATAATAATAATAATAATAACAATGATTGGTAAATGTAGCATATTGAATTTCATGGGTAGTATTTAAAAAAGCACAAATGTATTACAAAGAGTTATATATATATATATATATATATATATATATATATCTTTTAGAAAATCTTTTCTAATTTTTCGAGTTGTCGGTACTTAGAAATTATCACATTCTGTTATTAATCAATTGGACTAGTAATATTGTTTTAGTAGCCTCATCATTATATTGATTATAAATAATAAGAGCAACAATATTGTATGACTTTCAAACAAAGCAAACTTTTAGATTTTGTTATTTCAGCAGACATATTTTTTTTTAAATTCATTTAGTTACATTTGCAGTAATTCGAGGACAATTGAATCAATTTTATCGAAATACGCAAAGGATTTATTATAACTATTTAAACTGCTTGTGCACGAGCATTGGCGTTTGTCGTTAAATTCAGTATATCATACATTAAAACACGACGTTTTACGTATACAAGCGATAACGTGTTTTCTTTTCAAGAGATTATATATTTAAAAACTTTTATCTCCACCTTTGACACTAAGTTAGTTGTGCATTACATATATGGATGAAGCGGAAATTATCGGGGCCGGGGGGGAGGGGGTGGGGTGGGGGTGGAATAAAGAAGCAATAGCAGGATCGACTTACTTGCTTGACGACTAGAGCACGGCGCACTAGACTAATATTAGAATAATATTGACAATGAGCAGACATTTGCTCGTCAATAATGACGTTCATTGACCGTCAAAACATATTCCCACTGAATGACTGCCCAAATTCTTCTTTCCTCTCCTTACGTTTCAGAGAATTTATCTTAACAATAAATGTAGACGTTTTAATTATTTCAGGTATAGATTTATATATTAAGTGTCAAGATTGCATATTCCGTAACTGATATTTTTAAATCATAATTTATTCTAGCTTCGTTTAATCTCTTCAAATTTACGTATGGAATGAAATGATGTCGCTTACTTTTTTATTTTATCAAACAGATAGAGTCAATTTATATTTTATCATTTTGGCTTTAATTTTTATATCAATTGTTTGTTTGTTTTTTTTTTTTTAAATTGCGAAACTTGAAGATTGAAATACAAAATAGACAGTTTTACGAAATATGATTGTCTACGAGAGTTTAACGTAATCATTTAATATCGATATCGATCCATATCCATTGTCATTACTATATTTACGACATAAAATTGATTAATTAATATTAAAATTCATTAAAATTAATTTTTTTAATTAATAGTATTAATTAAAAAAAAAAAAAAGTTTCATAAAACGAATAAATCAGAAATAGATTTTAAATGGAGTAACAGTAATGCTTATATTGGAATTGATTGATATTAATTAATTGACAATGTTTCTATTTGCATATATGCACGAATCTTAAAATGTTTACAAAAATTTCATTTTCAAAATATGTGTAAATATAAAAATGTTTACTATTAAACATTAACATGACATGTATTTATATATATATATATATATATATATTCGACTTCCTTAATATTTCATGCCTTTTTGTTTGCGTCAGTACTTATAATTTATCCATTTCCATGATATTTATATTAAAGTATAAGCAATTTAAAATAAAAACAATCAATATCATTATGACTAGCCTATATACATTTTGTTAATTTTATTTAAAAGATTTCATATGTTTATTCAAAATATAACAATGACGATCACCTTACATAACTTCATATCCTAAATCCTGTAATATCGAAGTAAATAAATATAAAAAATGTCAATAGATTTTTGGAATATTTGCCGAAATACATATTTTTTTCAATTTGACGAAAATTTGAAAATTTAAAACTTTATATGAGTTTGATTATACACGATGAACGTGTCATTAAATTGAAATTATCGCTTGAAAATTAAAACAACTAGCGAACATTTTTTAAGATTATTTATGACAGAAAAAGGTTAATATAGTGCACAGAATTATCAAATTGTTATATATTTTAACAATATTTTTTCCAATGAATTCAGCATTTTAAATACTCTGTATGTTATCAGTTTTGTTTTTTTTTTGTTTGTTTTTTTGTTTTGTTTTTGTTTTTAATTTGTTCCGATAATTTTAAAGGAGAATTTTCTATTTTTCCGATCTTACACATTTTCGCTCAATGATAAAGTAATATTTTTCAAAGTATTTTTACAAATCAAAAAATGAATTTCCTATCTTTGCAAAATAATATATATGTATTAAAATTATGTTATATTGAAGTTTCTATGATTTAAAAGATATGATCTTTCGCGATTTTTTATTTGCATAAATGAATAAGTATTTTAATGCCATTGGAATTTAATCAATATTTTTGTATAAGTGAATAAGTATTTTAATATCATTGAAATATCAATATTTTTAAACTTGTTTGTCTATCGTATACTAAATAACAAAACTAAATCTGAAAAATTTCTAAATATTTAAGCAGATAATATTTAATGTAAGTGCATAATATTTGATGAAAATGTATAAAAATATATTTTATTATATTGCCAAATTATATTACTATTATTATATTCACATGACTAGCAAATACTTATAATATTTTCTTAATTATTATATACATTATATTCACTCGATCAGTCCGTATATAATATTGTTTGTTTATTCATTTATTTATTTATTTATTTATTTATTTATTTTTTAATATGGGTTAGTCACAATTCAGTTTTATCATTATATTAGTTGTTGATAGAATGAGGACAATAAAAAAAGGACAAACATATTTGAGATCAAATATACTTTGTAATTATTTATGTTTGATACTTAAAACTACTTGTAAAAGATACTTCTTACAATAAATTTCGATTTGTGAGACACTTGTTTGAAGTGGCACTTTTATTAACACTTCAGGATCACGATACCAAGTAATAAATTGTTAATTTAAAATTTGATTATTATATTTTAACATTTGAGATTTATAAATAATTTGATAAGATTAAATTTTGACAAAAATATCTTAGACCAACCAATATGCTAGAGATTATTTTCACGTAATTTTCAATAGCGAAAGAAAAAATTTTAAATAAGAAAAATCGAAAAAATGATAAAATAATGTATCGAGCGATTCTCAACGAATTATCAAAAATTGCTTTGAATGATCATTGATATAATATGGGTATATAAAACTAGGCACTACCGACGGTAAATTATTGCTATTTTATAATTCGCAAAATATGTAATGTATGTGAGCTACGTATGCTAGTAAGTTTATCTGCCCATCAGAGATTCTTTAATTTTTTCGTCGATCCAAGTTCTGTAATGTGCAATTCGAACGTAAACTCCTGGTCGATTAGCTCGTCCACAGTGTTGTCCCCAACTAGTTAGGCCGTATAAAGTAAAAGCACCTGAAATTAACATAAAATTCATGAATCCCCTTCATGAAAGGAAATAATATGAATATTTGATAAAATTGAAAGTTTCACAATCGAACACATAATCAGATGGTGATTAATAAATTTATGGAGAGGAACGTATGGAAAGCTAAGGTAATTCATGACGCTAATCAAACACAATAATTATTATGCCATCTAAATTATATCAGCCTTATAAAACTTTAGACGAGCGATTCAGTCTTCTCCAAATCAATGATACTCGATTTAAAACAATAAAATATCTCCGGTACAACACGACACGACAAATCGAAGATTCGCAAGGCCAGGCACTGGTCGCGTAATCAATAAGAAATGGATAGATCAGTTCATACGATACCATTAAAGGGGCAAGCCAATGGTCCTCCAGAATCACCGTCACAAGTGTCAGGTCCACCGTTCAAGTGTCCCGCACAAATCATCCCATCGGTGATGGAGGCTTGACCGTAGACGTAATCCGCCTTGCATGTCGATTCGTCCAGTAGTGGCACCCAGCCGAACCTGAGCTTTCGCGAGTGCGCTAAACAGACATTCAACGATTAAGTAGCCTTGTAAAAGCATTTCTTAATCGACCTTCATAGTTTTTCATCGATTTCGAAAAGATTAAGGTAATCGAGTACAGCGTAGCTACCGATACTTGCTGCTACCGATCAATGAAAAATAAAATTATCTTTCTTTACAACTGTCGACCACTCTCGTGAAAGTCCCTATCTTCGAGCATTAAATGATTCTCAGATCGTATTAAAACGTCCCGATTCAGGCTCGAGCCCCATCCCTCCCACCCTTCAATCCCGCAAGTCATTAGGGCTCCGTTAAGTGCTATTCTTAACGTGCCCGAGTCGCCGTGTATTCCGATATTAGGCCGTTGGTACATACCGGATGAGCCAGCCTCGATGCTACCGAAGCCGCTGATGGTGCAATTTAATCCTGGCGGGTACTCGATATTCTCGTGTGGCAGGCAAATCGGCATCACGTGCCGACCAAGTGGAATACCCCGGCCTTTCAGCAATACGACGGCGATGTCGTTGTTCAGGCGATGGCCCTTGCGGAAGTCTTCGTGCACGTAATAGTCCTCGATGTTTGCCTCGACTTCCGTTCCCTCGTCCACCTTCGAAGCCAATGTTTTTGCTTAGCACTTTGCATACCGTCGATGGCTTCTTATCGCTTTCGTGCGACGGTATGATAATAAGCTTCTTAAGTATTAGAAACTTCGGGTATTAACGCCAAGGTTATTAATTGTTAATAGATACGTTTGTGCGTAGGGTCGGATGAGAAATAATAATTGAGCGAGCACTTGATACAGGTTCGTGTGCCCAGATCGATGTCTCGCTTACACTTACGCGAGTATATAGATAAACGGTCATTGTTGTTTAAGGCTTTGGAGTTTCGTACATAAATTATATTCATTCGTATATCAATGAGACGTCTGATCAGTAGTGATGGCATGCAAATCAATGAAATAAAGTATTATTTATAAAGCCAATAATTTCCACTATTTTCCGCATATTGCAAAGAACAATGAAATTCACGTAATGCATGTCACAAACCATTTCATAATTTATAAGGACGGAGAAAACGACAAGGATTGCAATTTAATTTTTAGTTTATTATGATTGTAATTGTAATCAATTATTGTTAAATAAAAATAGTATGTTCAATTTTTGTTGAGTTAACAGTTGAGTTAAAAATTACAAAATAACATAAATTAAATATTCATTCTAATAATTCTTCTAATAATTATCTTTGCACATTAGATTTTATGATATAAACGTAATTTTACATATACTGTTAATAATCATTAAATATTTCTCAATAAATTCAGATAATCAATGTAATAGCGAATATTGCATAAAACTTTTTTTATCTTAACAAATTAGAGAATAGTAAATTAATAAAATGTATTAAATATAAGAAAATGTATTATCATATGTTTATATATATAATTCTACAATTATATAAATTTGAAATTACAGTAGAAAATACAAAATTATTCAGATATTATCAGATATTACATCGATAGAAAAGTTGTAAGCAACGAATTATTGCTTATTTCATTATTACTCGAAGGATACATTTGTATTCATTATTTATTATCCAATTATTTTCTGGATTAAGAAGACAATTAATACTCACTAATAATTTTTAATATACATATAAAAAAACTTATACTTGATCAAAATTATTCTATTTAACATTGTCTTTATGCAACAATTTATTTTCAGCTCTTAATATTGCCATTCTGAAACAAATAAATTATCATTAATTACTCAAAAGTGAAAACGAATTGTGTAATATATAAATATATAGAATCCTGTCTAATTTGTCGATTATCGCGTCAACGATAAGAAAGCTCAAACGTTCAGGAATTCGCTACAGGCACCACTTTTAAGAAGATTAATCTTTCGAACATCCGCGACATGTACAGAGACCAATTACTCTGGAGTAAAATTCAAATCATTTAATGGTTTTGCTATTGAAAACGATAGAACAAGATTGCAAAACGGATTATTCTACAAGTTATCTAATTACATTTCACTTGGCATTCCTACACTTTAAATTCCATTTTTTGCTCCCGAATTACGTCATTGAGTTTGATAATGTGATTGATATAGACAGGTTTTATTAGTTAACGATACATTTTATCGAAAGAAGTTAAGTTTACGTAAATTTCTAAATAAATAAATTTCATTATTTTATAACGATATATGATATATATATATATATATATATATATATATATATAAAAATAAGCGAACCTTCTTTTCTTATTCGATGAGGCAAAATCGCAATCATTATTACAATAATTTATCAAATCTTTCACATTTTTACCAATATATTTGAATTACTTTTACAGAAAAATAATATATTGAATGTAAAATTTAAGGAGCGAAAGTATGTGTGTATACATATTTCACTGTCCCTGTTAATCAATTATTTATTCTAAAATTTGGTGAAATCATCGAACTTATCAGGTTATCAAATAATACAATCAGTTTTTTCGATCTACGAATAACGTTTATGTAGTGAGTCTTATAACAACAAAATTTCTCTAACACATAGTTGCAATTTTAATCGCACATACATCCAATCACCAGAATTTCAATAAGTTTATCTTGGATTAAATGTACCGGCAACCAAAGTAATTCTTACCGTAATTATTATGGCCAATCGCAAACTCGACTATCCGGGTTAAAATAAGTACCAGGGCCGCATTGTTGCAAGAATGCTCGTCCTTTCCAACAGTTAACGAAAAATGTCTTATCCGGGGGGTACAGAAATTGTCCGGTAACATACTTGTTGGGACATTTAATCTTGTACCTTATCGATGCAAAGCCACTGTTGGGATTATGCTTTTCATACAAATTTTAGTTAAGTTGTATATCACGCGCACACACACATATTTGATTTTATTATTTAATTGAATAGTTATAAATATATGCTTGTAATTATCATGTTACCTATTCATTTTATTTTAAATAAGTAGTGAGTTTTAATTTATGTTAAGTGTACAAAATTGTTTGAAAGACATTTCTTATAATAAATATACAATTTGAGTAAGCGTTAAGTAAACGCAAAAACAACATTAAACTTTTAAATAAGCATTTTCAAATTAAAATTAAATCAATATATATATATATATATATATATATATATATATATACCTTAAGATTAAATAAGTTTTTAATAAAACATTAGATATTAAGTGTTTACAGTACTTACAAAAATATCATCATAATCATCAACTGTAGAAATAAATTTCACTATGCAAAAAGCTATTATCGTTGTTATAATAAATAAATATTTCATTCTGCAATAAAAAATAGTACGTAATAATTTAAATGCAATTTCAATATAATTGAATTAAAAAAAATTTTAATTTAACAACTATAGAAGTTTTCTTATAAATACTTACTTGACAACATGTAATGCGCAAATAAATTTTCTCACAGGTGTTCACAAAACCAGATATTTTTAATGTTCATAATGCCAACGTCTTATACACATAATATTTAAATACTAAACAAATTTTCTTATCTCTACAATAGATCATCTGTTCTTTACGTGTTTTAATAAGGAAATACTCATTACTTAAATGAAATACAATATAACTAAAAACAATGTATACTTGAATATTCAATAGAACGGTGATTTGAAAATTCATCATTGAGAAATTTTTTTTTTTTTTTTTTTTTTTTTTAAAAAAATTTTTTATTTATGTTTTGACGATATTATTTTAATATTTAAAACTACCTTTGTCTTTAAGAAAATTCATAAACGAAATGTATCTCATCGTGAAAATATGCCGTCAAATAAATGTTCGGTATCAATTTAACGTATTATATTTTTTTCGATCATTTTCATAAATTAATGATTACGTAACATTATGCATTATAACGTTAAACTATTAAATACTGTGTAAATTATGTGGATTTAAATATTTATATATGTAGAGAGCAGTATTTATTGCAATATTAAATAGAATTATACTTATTCTTAATTATTTATTTTGCGTATTACGTCAAAAAAGATAAGAAATATACCACGAATATTTGTTGGTATTAGTATTCTTTATTGAAAATTTGTAAATATTAAAATTTACTCTCACTTAACTTATGTCTATAAAAAGAGAAAAGTCACCATTCATTCAAAACAATTTGTAACATATATATACATTGCTATTAAAAATAAAAATTGTTTTAAGTAAATAAGATCTGAGTATATCATTAGAATGGTAGCGGTGAAACTGTGAAAAATAATCAATTTTTTCGATTACTTATGCAGAAAATGTAAGGTTGAAAACCATGTTGACGCCTAAGAAGTAATCACACATGCTTGATAATATTAAAACTTATTTAAGCAAGATAAGACAATTTATCTGGAGAGGATGAAATTCGATAATTCAATGAAAACCAAAAAAAGAGTTCCATGCTGCAATATTGTCAATCGTTAATACATTAAGATATATTCGAATAATCGTAATAATATGTAATAAATGCGCAAACGCGACGAAGTATTGTTTGCAAATTGTTCATTTGCTCTATGTAAATGACAAATTATTGGTATGCGGCATAAAGCGAGCTTAATGAATTAAGAATTTGTTTTATCTACGAACGAGAAAGCGACGGCGCTGTTATTGTCGAGTAATTATTATCTCACGTATATGCACACTCGCGTATAAAGTCAATTAAAAAGTGAAAAAGAGAAGGCAATATTTACAATTTCCCAATGAAAAGTAAAAAACATTCGTATTCTCGATGGAAATCGTGCGGACCAAGGTATTTAACGTCACTATGGGCCCTATGTGACAATTTCGTGCATCAAAAGATCCGCGATTGCGAACGTCGCGGATTGGCTGCTATACGAGCGTTTGCACGAAACTCCATTGATCCCCGGGATCACCTTAATAAAAGCAAGATTTTGATAAAGTACTCACCTCCGTGTTGTAATCCCCGGCGCGCACGAAGTACGTGCCCTTGTTGTAACCTTCAAGGCAGTGCGCAGCCGTTAACACGTGGAGTGGCGAGAGCACGACAGCGCCGCACCAATGGCTCGATTTGCTGTGTCCCCGCACTCGAATGCTCGCCTTTGTTCAAGGTTTTCTCTTTTTATTTGCTCCTGATCGTTCTTTGTGAGTGATGTTTTTAGTTTGTCGCATCCACCACCCACTACCAGCTTTGACGGGGTTATCGGGACTTTTACTCTCACCGTTGTTAATTAGTGTGTGGAGGAGGTTACCATGGGTATGTTATGGGCATAATAGTCTAATTTGGGTAATTGATTATTGGAGGTATTTTGGAGTGCGCGGCGTAACGGGATACTTCGATATAAGTCGAGTTAAGGGAATAAGGCATGGAGATTTCAATCATTAGTAAGGTAATGATGAATTTATCGCATCGTTATAAATATTTCATTCGAGCTTTCAAGTTTAGAAGTGTTCTTTTTTTTCTTTGTATTCTCTTTCTCTTTCTAATCGAGAGATGAATTCCCAGTTATTTGATCTTTGATGAATTATACATTATATTCGACGTATTATATATTTCTTATTTAAAGACCCAAAAATCAATGCACAACTATTGATCAGCGTTAAATGTTTTTAACAATATCAGCTGTTACCAATTGTATTTTCGAATCAATTTAACAGTTGTTTCGCTTCGTTTTTCTCATTTACAAAATATATTTTACACAAAGAAAGGATTTTGATTTAGAAAAGTTACAAATCACAAAGTATAATTATTTTCCATTGCAAGTTTTTTAATCTCGCACCTGAGATCTCGTAGAGACCATAAATTTAGAATGGATCTAATAATTTCGTGGGAATCTTCGCGATTATTGCACTTCTTCCAAAAAAAAAAAAAAAAAAAAAAAAAAAAAAAAAAAAAAAAAAAAAAAAAAAAAAAAAAAAAACTATTCACATTATCATTGAATTTCAAAATTTGTTTGTCACGACAAATCAAGTTTGTTAGAGGAAGCCGATAGCAATAATCTTATTATTAATGAGTAAGTAAGCGTACGGTATCCAAGCCAATGGTAATTCGAATTCGAATAATCGGTTAGTGTTACGATGGCGTAAATTAGATGTTAACGCGAGTCGAGGCGATCGGTAAGGGAGATACCTGCCAAGGGTAGGATCCACGGGGTGCGATCGAGCTGCGCACAACCCTCTCGAACATGAGCTCGTCGTCTTCGTCAAAGTCCTCGGGTCGCTTGCCGCAGTCGCTCGGCAGCAGGTCGTTGGCGTTCAGCTCGGGCAGCGCTTTCTCCGATCTCATCTCCTTGGCATTCTGCTCGTTGTCGTACACAGAGAGAGAGAGAGAGAGAGAAGAGAGAGACGAACGAAGGATCGGCTCTAAACTCTCCGGAGGAACGGCATTCCAGAAAGTTTAGAGGGCAGCCCAGTCGCGGATATCCTCGAACCGAAGCCCGTCCGATCGGGTCGACCGCCGCGACTCGACCGCCCTCAACCTCGCCGATCCTAATTCTACTTTTTAAAGCCTCTTTTTACGAGTCATCGTAGTGGATTCGACGAGGTGCCATTATGATTGACTACGCTTGCGCCACTATCAGTACATATCGATGGGATACATTTAATGCAAGTGTAAATAAGGCTTATGTTTTTTTTTTTGTTTTTTATTTTTAAACAGCGTTCGAGCTCGTGGACGGAAAGAAAGTAGTGACCCATTGTGAAAAAAGAAAAGAAAAAAAAAAGAAAAAAAAAAGAAAAAAAAAGAAAAGAAAAAAATCGTCATCTCATGTTAGCTCATCCTTTATTACACTGACTATTCGATTCCTTGATACATCATACATGTACAATGAATAGATCGCAGTTGGCTGGGCGTAGATTAAGACAAGGGAACTTCGTCACAGGCCAAACAGCCTCGGCAGTTTACGCGTTAATTCGCATCCTCGAACGCGGCTGTCTCGCACGAATTACCTCATACTCCGGGGGGATGGCTCCAGACGTGCATACGACACCCGCGTCCTCGTTGTGATTGCAATTGTGACGGCCCCATTGGTCGTGCTCGCAGCGGTACAATTGCGTCTCGTTGCCGAAGCAGAACACCTGCAAGCGTTTAGGAATCTTATAGTCGACGCCGCTCCATTATTAAGCTGTCTCCTTCTCCAGGATCAGAGATTTCATTTAGGGGTGGGCTTACGACTCTGCACGAACTCTTAATCGAAGCGATTATTTTAATATTTTTAAAATAAAATATTTTTGCCGTGAAAATATTTTTCTCTACATTTATTTGGGAATCGGTGTGCTTTTATGCAATGCTATGCAAATAGTCATCGATTTATTTCTTCGAGCTTTCTTAATTATGCATAAAAGAAGCGTAGAACGTGGCAGGACGAATGATTCGCGTAAATGCATACCTCGTCTAACCAAATTGGACCCGTGCCAGGACCAAAGAATCCATCTTTTTTCACCATCGCCGGTCCGCCGTATCCCAGGGAACGGCAAATGACTTTGGCCGTGGCGTTGGAGAAGTCGTCGTCGCATACGGTGCCCCATATTCCATGATGGCGAATTTCAACTCGGCCCTCCTTGGGACTAGTTCCGTTCACTAGGCGCAACTCGAATGGCACCTGTCGGCAGAATTTCACGCAGATTTGGCAATCTCATGGTTTTGCGACTCGAGCAGCGTCTAATGACGATTGTCGAGACTAGTTGCCTTAGCGATTTCATTTTAACCAGTTGACAACTCGAAAATTTCTTACATCTTTTAATGCATTATCCAACTATCCAACATTTATCAATTGAAATAGCATGTTTACACATTTGACAATCTACGTCTCGAGTCTTTTAAATTGTCTTTATAAATATATTTTACTCGCTTTCCATTGAACTTCCGACAAAATTATTAACGCCCGTCAATGTGACTATTATTCCTGTCGTATTATTCCTGCCTACTGATCCTCTCTCAAGGTTATAAATAAGTTGTTTATCGACCACGTAATAAAAAGTCGTCGTTTAATTAAAATTCTCTGGCTAATGTAGCTTGGACGCGGCGCCGAGGGAATCTCGAAACTCACGAAACGCGACTCCGCGACTGCTCATTTCAAATTCATAAGTCCGAGCGAATGTTACGTCCAACTCACATAATCGTTTATGCTTTATGCTTCGAATGCTCCTCCCAACCCCATTAGCCATCCACATTTCCATGCCATCCACCTCATATTTTAGCCCAAGTTCATATCTCGTTTTTATAAATTGTTATTGATAATGAAGTGACGCGAAACTCACGTTGCAGTGCAGCGGACTTTCATCGGATCCATCCGGGCAATCGGGAACCTCGTCGCATATGAATGGCGTCGGGATGCATACCTCTGCATTATCGCACTTCCACATGTCTTTCTGGCAGGTGTCAATGTCGGTTTTACAAATCACGCCGACGGCCTCCTCCGGCTCGCAATTGTGCTTTCCCCATCTGTCGGTATAATTAGTAGTGGCTTATCGGAGGAACATACATCGCTCTCGAGGCATCGCACTATCAATAATAGAACTTGTCAATCGTTCCTTATTTCATGCAGTTAATATTGTGTCCCCGACTACTGTTTACAAGGCCATTAGAAAAGTCGTTGAAAATAAAAGAAAAGGAAAAGGAGAAAAAAATTCCAGCTAATACTATGATGCTCTGACAACGCGATGCGCTCTAAATGCAAATTATTCCTTAAATGTCAAGTATTTGTAAGCAATCGATGAGATTTACCCTTCGAAATCGCATTCCCTTATTGTTGTTTCATTTCCTTGACACTTTAGTTGATCGACCATGAAAGCCTCGGGGGGATTAAGATTTCCATAAAATCCTCCCGGTCGCACTTCGAGAGCACCAAGACTGTAACCGAGTTCTCGGCAAATAACAGTGGCGTCAATCATGTCGAAGCTGTCGTCGCAAACTTGACCCCATTTATCCAAGACTATTCAGCGAAAGTTAAAAGAGCATACGTATATATATATATATATATATATATATATATATATATATCTTTGGGAAGGTAATGGGCATACGCCCCCGCATCATAAGGCGAACGATAATATCGTTCGTAATCACAACTAATAACACATACACATCGCTTACGCTTTGCTTTGTCTCTTGTATGTACGTCGCTTTTCGTTGCACGGACATGCACGGGAAAATATTATTAATATCGCAGAGAACTAAATAAATACAAAATAATTGTTTTATTCACCTGTAATATTATGCCAAATGTTTATTTAATAAATCGTTGCTTATCAATTTCACATTATCATTAATATGTGCATTTATATATATATATATATATATATATATATATATGCAAATAACTAGAAAATTAAGTATATACGCCATAAATACTCGTACTTAGCAGTATTATTAACAAAATTTTAAGGGATATTATAAGAACATGAAAATTTCGTATTTGCGTATTAGAAATACGCTTTGTTGGAATATTATGTTGCCAAGCGATTATTTTTGATATCATAATAATTAAATTAATATTTAACTATGATGAAGAAAAAGCATTGATTTTAATTAATAATAATAATAATAATAATAATAATAATAATAATAATAATAATAATAATAATACGACACGAATTTAAAAAATTCCTCAAAGTTTCTTTAGCAAACCAGGAAAGCCTGATTCGAGCCACCGATCGCAATTCACGTAATATCCACACTTTAATCGAAGGGAGTTTTTACATTGGACATTCGTTGCCTTTCATCGGAGGGAAGGAAAAACCATCGTATCGCACTTACTCTTGATCTCGACCCTCCCCTCGTGACTCGAGTTCGCCCCGGCGAGTCGTATCGCGTAGCCGAGATTCTCAACGCTGCAGATCCGCTCGTCCGAGCGATCGACGCAGTCGTTCCTGCCATCGCAGACCTTCGTCCGATTGATGCACTTCTGATTGTCACAGACGAACATGTCCTCGCAGTCGAGGCTACGGTCCCGCATCTCGTAATAGTCGTGCTCGTCGCTCGAGACCAGGGCGCCGGTCATGCCGACGTTGCTGTCCGACAGGTAGCACACGTTGCCCTCCTTCCTATTGTCAACCACATATCAATCATAATACATAAATCACAGTAGCACAAGCCTTAACGTAAGTAAGACTCGAGGTGGCTAATTTAACGGGGCAGTGCGTGAAAAATTGATAGTTACAGGTGGGTAAAGGAACGGCAAGTGAAGTCCGCCTCTTTACAGCGCAACGCGCAAGTTTTCGCCGGTGTGTTGAGCCACTTCTCGATGTCGTAGCCGTCGAGCATATGCTTTGATATTTTTTTGTAAAAGCTCATGTAGGACGAGCACTTTTTCTCGTCAGCTCCATTCGTGCAATCCTTGGATGAATACAATAAATTTAAATTAGCTTCGCTTTTACTCGGATGATTAATGCTTAAGACTTAATAAGGGTGAGCTTGGTCTAATGTTTCTCACCTCTTCTCCGTCGCAAACCCAAGGTGACGGTATGCATTCGCCAGGCAAGCATTCAAAGTGCTTTGGCTTACAATTCCCAGTCAAATGACTGTTTTTAGACACTGCAATAAGAAGGATACGTACGATCTTGAGGTATATATATATATATATTTGTGTGTGTGTGTGTTTTTTTTGTTTTTTTTTGTTGTTTTTAACGACCATAGCAGGAGATATTGTCTATTATAAATAAGTCTATATATAAATGAGAATTACGTTATCTCAGCTTGGGATGATTAAGCGACTTACGTATTTTGCCGCAATACGGGATGTCGCAATATTCGTATTCGCCTCGAGGGCCAGTGAAACACCAGGGCCGCGACTCTTTACTCGGATTTGGATTTCGGCAATAATTGTGATCTCTCAGTTCGTCTCGAGCCGGTCTGTTTGGTACCTGAAAATGCAATATCGTTCACTTCGTCGTGCTCCTCCAAGTATATTAGACGTCATAATCGTGTCGATCGATACTAACTTTGGACATCAATGAGTGCGCTACTTCCGGATCGGACCAAGATAAGCACTTTCGACCGCTCATGGTAACGCTTGCATTTCCGGAATATTGATTACCATTTCCATATGTGCATCCTGCGTAAAAATATTGTTATATTATAATGCCGACGATATTAAAGTGACGATAGAGAATACGACACGGCGTACGATGATTTTTAATTGTTGGCGTGTATCGTTCTATAATGAAAATTAAACTGTTTCATCAATTGTTAAGGAGAATGTCAAGCCACGTTGCCAATGAAATCTCTTCATATGAATTATGAATTTAATTTGAAAAATTTCCTATTTCGACATATATATATATATATATATATTAATGTTCTTATTTATAATAATTTTCAACATTAAATCTTTAGACAAAATTAATCTAATATATTTTGGTTATATATTGACTGTGAGAGGAGGAGGGGGGGGCGGACTACGGATAAGGATAAAGAAGAAAAAATGAAGAATAATAAACATAAGTACTTTTTATTCATAAAAAGACTTTTTTTAAAAAAATGGAACATGTTATACCGATATCCAATGGACTGATTAAATAAAAACTTTGTACGCATACGCGCGTGCGTCTAAATGCACACACACACGCGCGCGCGCGCACAACATAACATAGACACACAAATACATACCTACGCACGCACGCACGCACGCGCACACACAAAAAACTGATAACGTTAAATAATTAATTGGTTCGTTCACGAATGTTTATTATCTTCTAGTATTATGAAACTTTGTATAATATCTTTTGTTTTACAAGTGAAAGGGTACGTATGATTTTTGTAAAAACGGATACGTCACTTTTTCATTATTTTTTCATAGGTTAAACGATTAAGGTTCTCTAGAGAAAGAAAGCTCGAAGATAAAGCTTCTTCTAATTAAATTTATACATAGAAAATCGTATGTAATTGTCATTATATCATAGTCGTATGCGATAACTATCATATACTCGTGTTACGTCATATTCGTAGCCTTATACATGTTTATTTCCATGATCACACAACTATAAAAAAAATAGTTCATTTTCAAATTAGTATTTCCAATTGATATTAATTTCACTGATAAAATTCGAACGTTTAGTTAAAGATTATTTACGCCTACTTAATCAATATTATTTTAACGGCACTGATAATCATTTGCTTTTAAGTGCATGCAGGTATAGATTTTAAATTATATTTATCCACTCCCTAATATCATTTACATCATTGAATTATCGAAATAATCCAAGTTTAATGCACATTCTCAATGCAGCTGAAGCAACTAAAAAGGGACATTAATTTCAAGATATTTCTCTTTGATGATAAATAAGGAAGGAGTATAATAATACAAGTCGTTGTCTCGACTTATTTGCCAATAAATTTCTAATAAAAAGTGTTACATTCACTGAAAATAATTTTTAAATTAAAATTTATTTCATAAGAATTTGTCAGTCGTCCGAATGGACGTTAAAGTCCCTTGTCGTCTTTAACCTTAAATCAAGTGTCCATGAATGGCGGATGGCAATGTGCATAAACATTAATGTATTAGGCAAATAAAAAATAAATAAATAAATAAAAAAAAAAAAAAAAAAAAGAAAATGAAAAAGAAAAAAAAAAGTGATTATAGTATGAAAGTACAGGCGCAATTACCAATATCATCGTAAGCCCTTTTGCAGATAAAGGAATGGCCTTTGTTCGAGCTGGCGCAGTCTTCGACGTCCCAGAAGTAATAGTCGGTCTTGCATTTATTTTCAGGACGATTGTGGCAGGGGAACTTGCGGCTCATTATAATGCAAACTGGTCGATGGCCTACGAACGGCATCATTTTTCTGTCCCCCGTCCAGCCGGGCCACCATTTATTGAACCTAATTTCGCATTATCGGAGAAGAAGAAGAAGAAGAAGAAGAAGAAGAAGAAGAAGAAGAAGAAGAAGAAGAAGAAGAAGAAGAAGAAGAAGAAGAAGAAGAAGAAGAAGAAGAAGAAGAAGAAGAAGAAGAAGAAGAAGAAGAAGAAGAAGAAGAAGAAGAAGAAGAAGAAGAAGAAGAAGAAGAAGAAGAAGAAGAAGAAGAAGAAGAAGAAGAAGAAGAAGAAGAAGAAGAAGAAGATTAGCGATTTAATCGATCTCCTCGTGAACGATATATCTTGGCCGACATATCGTCAACGAATTGATAATTTCAATTGACGTAACGCGTCGTAGCCGATAATCCTTTAATATAACGACCTAATATTGTCGGACACGCAAAGCTATACCCATGAGCTATTAGATCCATTAATATATTGTAAATCGACATGGTAACTATGGGCGATTGTCTCGAGACAACGTTGTCTCGAAATCACGAGCAAGTAGTCAGGCTGTATAAGTGCCGTACTCACTTGAATCTCGCGACGCTCGAGTCCTCCCATATCCATATGGACATGTTGAAAGTCGTGAAACCCATGCCGGCGGTCATGACCGAATCAACCTGGGGCTGGCTTTGAACGAGGAGCTCCGAGACGAAGTCGTTCTCCGGTTGATCGAGGAGATCGAGTAGTCGGGAGCCACGACGCTGGCAGTGGTCGTGGGCCTCGGCGTGGTTGAGCCCTTGGCTGGGCTGGGCCACGTGGTAGCATTGGCCATTGTGGGCCACTTCGTCCGTGCGACAATGGGCCGCGCGATTTGGTAGGCATCGCACCGCTATAGCGTCTCGCTCCAATTGGCATTCGGTTTTGTGCGAGAATCTGAAATCGGCGAGAATTATTGGCGATTGAATGGATTTGATTGGATTGGCGATAACAAAAAAAAAAAAAAAGAAAAAAAAGAAAAATAAATAAATAAATAAACAAATAAAGAACTCGTTACTACACCCAGCAGCTCACCTGCAAAGTTGGAATCTAGTTTCGTTTCCATGGCATACGACGGAATTGGCGGCTATCCATTTTGGTGTTTGGGACGATTTTGGACGACCTTGCCAAGCTGTGATTGCACCCCTAAAAACAAAAAAAAGAATAAAAAATCGCGATATATTAATCGATAATTTCCTACGAAACATAAGAGTATATAATAAGAAGATATTTTTGCGTATGAGTAACCTTCCGTATCCCAGCTGTTTGCAGACTACGTGAGCTTCTTTGAGATTCCATTCGTTTCTAGAGTCACAAATCACTCCCCAGCCAATGTCAACTCCATGGACTTCAACGTAACCCTCGGATGGATTCTCTCCGCCCCTTAAACGTATTATCTGGGAATGGTTTTTTTTTCTTTTTGTTATAAAATTCGAGCATATAATAGAATATATGTGTGTGTGTGTGCGTGTGCTAGTGTGTGTGCGTGTGTGTATTAAAAAGCAAAATTCTTTTATTAAAATTCTATGCATAACAACAGCTACAACAACAACAACAACAACAACAACAACAACGACGACGACGACGACGACGACGACGACGACGACGATAATAGTATAAAATAATTTTTTGTCGACCAACGATTAAATATTCATATATTTATATATTATCTTAGAACGTCGCTTTAACTATTTATGCAAACAAAAAACAAAAAACAAAAAACAAAAGATAAAAATATTTATTTACCTGACCGGATATTGGTGTACTTTGACCTGGTTTGTGGGCGTCGATAATCAACGACGAAGCTGTCGCCGACAATGTGTCGTGTGTTGGGAATGGCGGCTCTTCTAAATAATTTAACATCAGTTAACTTACAAAATAAAGCTAAGAATAAGTAAAGAAAGATGTTTTATAGAGGCGTTAGACTAGTCGATGCATGAAGTAGGAAAATCGTAAAGTGCGCAAAGCTCGTTTTCGAAGCTGCGGTGAAGCTTGAAACTTACCAAAACATAAACAATAATTGAATATTCATATGAAAATGTCTGGGCATTTTAACGTATTAGAATTATAATTACATTATTAATAATTGATAATTTAATAGTTTACCATCTAGGAAAGGAGATAGCTCGACATCCAAAAGGTAGCTTGGCGTGTGGCTATTGATTTTCATTACCACTGATTCCTCCTCCTCCTCCTTCGTCTTTGTTTTATTTTTATTATCAAAGACTAGCCGAGGCTTCCATTGTTTACCTTCTCCCGTTGTTTCAATTTCTACGGCAAAATCTTCCGCTCCCGTAAATTCATCCGAATCAATATCTTCATTAGCTTTCTTCTCGAGCGAGTCTTCGTTTTGATTAGTCGTCTCGCTGAATATCGGTATCGATGAATTCCAATTTTCCTCGAGTTCGATGGATACCGTCGGAACGTTCGAATCCTCCAATGCACGAACGTATATGAATTCTCGGTTTTTCACTTTGGACTCGACCTTACTTTCCTCAATCTCATCCTGAGAGTCCTTAAGTTTGGTAGGGGGAGTATTCTAAATTGATTGTTAATGATTTATAAATTTATCATTTAGGAGATGATAGTGGCCGTTGCTTGTTAGATTGGAAGAAGAAAAAAATTTTTACTTATAAAGTAATGTATTATGGTCTTAATACAATTATTACCATTATATTATTTTTATTTAGCATATTGGGAAAATTCAATTTTGGCATCCATGTCGGTGGTTGTCGCGTTGTTAATGGCGACACTCGCATCACATGATGGGATTCGCTCTGAGATCGATCCTCATCATTTAGTATTTCTCGTTCTAAAGATGTTTGCGTGTTTTGCTTTCTCGTTCTTGAGTGGCCTTGATCTATGGTGAGATTTTTCGTAATGTAATGTCCTCTCGTTCCATTATTATTTAGAGAAACTCTGTTTGGTCGATTATTGCTTATTATAGCATTGTGAGATGGTTTCACACCTAATTGATAATTCCCAAAATGGTAATTAAATTACCGTTGTTGTTTATTTTTATTTATTTATTTATTTATTTATTTATTTATTTATTTATTTATTTATTTATTTATTTATTTATTTATTTATTTATTTATTTATTTATTTATTTATTTATTTATTTATTTATTTATTTATTTATTTATTTATTTATTTATTTATTTATTTATTTATTTATTTATTTATTTATTTATTTATTTATTTATTTATTTATTTATTTATTTATTTATTTATTTATTTATTTATTTATTTATTTATTTATTTATTTATTTATTTATTTATTTATTTATTTATTTATTTATTTATTTATTTATTTATTTATTTATTTATTTATTTATTTATTTATTTATTTATTTATTTATTTATTTATTTATTTATTTATTTATTTATTTATTTATTTATTTATTTATTTATTTATTTATTTATTTATTTATTTATTTATTTATTTATTTATTTATTTATTTATTTATTTATTTATTTATTTATTTATTTATTTATTTATTTATTTATTTATTTATTTATTTATTTATTTATTTATTTATTTATTTATTATTATTATTATTTTTTTTTTTCTTCTTTTTTTTTTCTTTTAATAAAATAGAATTAATTATACGTTCGATTAATGCAATTGAAACATTTGATAATTATGCTTTGTTAAACGTGCTAATTGTGGCTTAAACTTTAAATATTCGAATGTTATAAACGTCAAATGCGTAATGATGAATATAATAAAAATGCGTTCGATCAAGCTTTTTAAAGGTTTAAAGATTTAGTCAGTTACCTGAAGCGGATCCATGCCTATGAGCTAACGAGTTAACATTTAACGGTAACTGTCCATTGTTCAAATTGTATATATTCGGATTTGGCGCCCTTTCATATTCGAAATTTGTTGCATCTCTATTTGCACCTACATATTCAATAATTAATTTATTGTTTTATTAAGATATAATTAAGCTCTAAAATAGTTGTATTGGCGCCTTTTCATTTAGTCCAACAAAAATAAGTAAATAAATAAATAAATAAATAATCATCAACATTCAGGACTTTGGACCTAATTATATTCAATGATAATACATCATAAACGGTAGGTTTAAACGGCCTTAAATATTTATTCTTCCATGTCTAGACGAATAAATATTGAAGTTCAATGTCCTTAATCGACATGCAAACGATGCGGTTTTCTCTTCTTTCTACACAAATGGCTAAGCTATAGGTATTTTTAAAATGCAAAAGCAGTGCAATCCCCTTCATGCATCATTTTTTTTATAAGAATGAAAAATATTGGCGCCGATAGGGTGAAAAATTTATTATTATTATTAATTACATTTTTCTTATTTTTCTTTTTTTTCTGTTGTAAATTATCGCTAATAACCTAAATGTGTCTGCTCAGAAAAGCAACATTTATCGAAATTTAAACTTTATAATTGGAAATTTATCATTTAATCGGCCGCGGAGCTATCGTTATGAGGAACTGATAAAAGACAGAGAGAGAGAGAGAGAGAGAGAGAGAGAGAGAGAAAAGAAGAAAAAATAATAATCCACTGTGAAATGGAAGATGAAGCGAGACAAATTCCACAATTCAGACCTGGATAACTCGGCCGTTTTTCAAAACCTCGTCCCATGCCTCGCCACGTGCTTGGCCGAAAATTCTCCGATGCAGAGGATTCCGGTAGACTCCAGTTCCCGTCATCGAACGAAAGTCTCCTGTCATTCGTGCGGCCGTAAGTTCGTCTGTCCACGGGACTGCGTGTCCAAGTGTTCCGAGGTTGCGCGGTAGAAGTGGTCGGCCAATTTCCACTGGCGGATTCAGCCACTAGGACGCGCTTTTCGTCTACGTCCCCATCCCCGGGCTTTTCATTATCATTCGACGATTCTGCATTATCTCGAGCAGCTTGATTATATCTCGGCGCATTATATGGATAACTATGTCCATTGAAATCATATTCCGGCTGTTCCGCTGAAGCATTTGTTATATTTACTGTCCGATGATTATCGTTAGATATGAAAATACTGTTGGGACGAAGTATTTGTATATTTACGTGATTGTTGATTAGGATGATGTTCTGCCACCTCGTCGTTGCGATGCGCCTCGTGCTTATGGTGATGTCGGTGAGGATGCTCGCGCGAATGGCCATTATCATTATCGGAATGATATTGATGGTGGGGACGCTGTGGACGCTGATGAAAATTTGAATGATAATTCGGATCGTTTGGATTGTCTGTCGAGTCATGGGCAGTATCCAATTGACTAAATGAGGATTTTGCATTTGGCTCGCGAGTAAATAGTGCGCTTGACGATGTTTCGTGATACTTATGGCCTCTCTCGTTCTGCCATTCCTCCGCCGGTGATTCGAAATTGTCTTGATTATCGCGATGGCCTTGATTGCTGGTCGATGGAGTGTCGTGATAGCTTGACGATGATTCCAATCGATTTCGATTACCGTGACTTTGATGGTGATGTGTATTTTGACTCTGTTCGAAATCAGCCGGATATGTATTTAGCCTTGAATCCAAGCTCGATTGATCGTAACTTGAAGGGTCAGCTGACGGCTGCGACGAAGCCGAATTTTCTGTAAAATTTCCTTCTTCGATTTATCAAATTCATCAATTAGTATAATATTCATTAGTATTGTACAATACGAATAATTGCACGGTAATGCATTATTTTTTATTTTATTGCCACTTGATTGGAATGACAGGCAATATCATGAAAAGTAATGGATAGGAATAATTTTTTTTCTCTCTCTTTTATTTTTATTTATTTATTTTCTCAATGTTTACCTTCACTACAACCAGGGACATTTCGCGGCCAATCGCATACCAATGTTATTGGATTGTAGACAGTTCCACTCCCACAATCCATGGAATAAGTAATTCCATTTGCGCACTGTAGGAATTTTTCACAATTATCTGGATAAGGTAATAGCCCGGAAAAGCCAGGTGGGCATTCAAAATTACGACGTGATTGCTGAGAGCGGTCGGTTGTTTTTATCAATTTATCATCGTTCGATGTCTCGAGGTGATAATCGTGAAACGTCTGTGAAGGTTTGCGTGGATTTGAAAGTCTATCGTCGTTAGTATGCCCCGTATCTTCATTAGGTATTGCATCTAAGAAAAGTCCTTCGTTACTTTGATTTATTAGATTCGATTAGGTAGCATTCGGCATAATGCTAAACATTATTTTAAATTTAATTTTTGATCGGTTTATTGTTAAGGAAAAAATCTACTATATCTCGAAGTTTTTAAGAAAATAATACAACAAAGAAGAGAGAGAGAGAGAGAGAGAGAGAGAGAGAAAGAAAATTTTAATCAACATGAATAAAGCGTACGTTTAAACGAACCTTCGCAGCCCTTTACGTTTCGTGGATAATCGCAAATGTTTATCGAAGGATTGAAAACTGTTCCAGGTCCGCATTCCATAATAAATGTGTTCCCACTGACACATTGAAGATACTTTGTGCATTCCGAAGGATGTGCTATCGTACCACTTATATAAAGTGGACAAGTCAGAGGCTGACGTGCACATATTTATTTGATTAATCATTGAAGGACTGTATTATTATTATTATTATTATCATTATCATTATCATTATCATTATTATTATTATTACTATCATCGTTATCATAATTATTATTAAAAAGTACGCATAAGATTGTAAATGCAATGGAATCGCTGCGATTTAAGAGTAATTTACCATTATCAAGCGCTTTCGGTACATGGTGCTTTTAAATTATAAGAGGAGGGAGGAGGATTAGGGGAGGCGGGGAGGGGAAATTGAGAAATAAAGGGGAAAAGAGCCTGTGAGTGCATATAAATTTTCAAAGCTTTACATAAACGAATGGATACTTGTAAAGTCGCATCTCCTCGCATTCTTACATCTAAGCCATTGATTAAAGGATTATTTTGTTAAAGTATGCATTTAAAATCAATGAAAAGTTGAAAGCTTTGACTAATGAGCTAATCGAGACTGTCCTACCGTTTCGTCTTGGTCGGACTCCTTCGTTTGCTTTCCATTCGCCTGAGCCGTGGGATCGATGATGTCGGCCTCGTTGCTGCCGTAGCACTTGACTTTGTTTGGAAAGTCGCATTCGAGTGTCTCGGGGCTAAAGAGCGTTCCAGGTGCGCAGGGCTGGAGGAAGGCGCGCCCGTTCCAGCAGGTGACGTAGAACTTGCAGTCCGGTGGGTAGATGTAGAGACCGGTTGCGTCGGTCGTGGGACACTGGACACCGACGCTCGTCGACTCGATTTTGGCGACGTTGAGCTGCGTGCGATCGATCGTCTGGATCGGCAGTTTTTCCTTCCGTGGCTTCTGTAAATGCATCGGGCCTGTATCGACCAGGACCTCGATCGTCGAAACGACGACGCGCCCCTATATTGATATTACATCTAGGGGAATTTTAAGGATCGAAGGCCCGCCGACTCCCGAGATGAGAGATGGCACGTATGGAGCTTTCACCAGATCGACGCAAATATTTCATTTGGAGTATCAGCTGGTGGAAGGGAAGGATCAATTCCGTCTGTAATCTGTCGGACTCTGTCGGTCGTGCTGTCCCTCTCGTATTCTTGTTGTCGAAGCAACGCGCGTGTGGAAATGTAAAGGTCGGCTAAAGTGCACGATTGTCGCATGTGCGGTGCCGCAGGATGATGACTCGTGACATTGCTTACTTAGGCGAATGCGAGGGTTGCGAGCGAGATTGGAATGGGACAGCATTAACGTATAGTCGAGCGGGAAAAGAGATAAGTGGATGGAAACTGAATCGCCGAGAGTGGGTGAGTTCGTTCGTGGTTGCCTTCGTGGAGCATGGGAGTAACAGCGCCCTCGCCGTTGGTAATGGTGGCGGTGAATTATGTTGAAGGATGCTCGTTGATAGGGCTCGAGCGACGGGGAGTGGACGACGGTGTGAAATTAATGATGAATTGTCGTTGAAAGAGTTTAATCATCGACCGCGCGTGAATCGGCGCCTTATTATTTCGATTTATATTTCAAAGTTATAAATATCGGAGGATCTGGTAAATGTAACTCGATCTCGTATATTTTTAACTACTAAAGTGGCTGTGAAGGCACAAAGTTTCGTCGTTGGATTTATTCAACCAGTAGATTGTTTAAAGGCATTGCTATTTATAAGATAGAGCGTAATGTATTGGGAGGTCGTTCTTTTTTCAATTAATATGTTAATCAAAAACAAAAACAAAATAAAACAAAAAACAAAAAACTTTGTTCTAAATAAACACGGGAAAATGATGGCATTGAACGATATGTTATTTATAATAATATTATATTTCAATGATAGGGTAAATTGTAATGTTCCACGATGCTTTTACTGCAAATACGAATAAACAATAGTTGCACAATAAATTTAAGGCAATGATAAAATTAAGGATCGAAAAATCCCTGTCTCCCGATCTCCTCTGTCTAATGTAATTCGCAAAAAAAACTTTTCCTTCAAAAGTTCTCCTTCCATTACGTTTGAAATCTTACTCTCAATAACTGTTGTTATGTTGGGCTGGAATTCATTGGAATCGTAAATCTACAGTGTCTTTCTTTTAAGATAATAAAAACTTTTCTAAATTGAATAAAAAAAAAAAATTATAACAATAAAAAAAAAAGGTAAAAAAAAAAATAAATAAATAAAAAAGTTTCTTCATACTGATGAAAATTTCGCTAAGTTAATTAACTTTTATACAATTTTTTTTAAGATCGAGTACCCCAAACTTCCTATATATTGTTACGCATAAATGTTATCTCATTTTATTGTATAATTCTTTTATATCCGAAGTTTTTAATAGTTTTTGTTCGTATAAAATTAAAGTAAAGTCGATAGATAATTTTCAGAGAACCATTGGACGTTAAATTTTAAATCAGATTGCCTGTACGTTGAGCAAAGGTCAGAAAAGTGATTAAGAAGAATATCGAGTTTTTAATAAAACGAAGAGAATTAGAATTTAGCTCTAAACCGAATTTAAAACAAATCGAGCAGATAAAGAGAACATGGCCGAATACGAATCCCCATTTAAATTTATGAATTGAATTTTGTTTTCCTGATCCGCTTCATCTATTCCATTTTCTACGATTATGCATCATCTCGGAAGCAAAGTCAATCATTTAAAAATGATACTCAACTCTTCTAAACAAAGCGCTTGTTGGAGATTTCTATATTAACGGTGGTCTAAGAATACTAAGATTTTTTTATTTATTTTGAAATTACAATTTTAATTATAGAAGATTGTAATTGTATGGCTTGAAACATCCTAGTAAAGTACATTTGAAAATCTCGAGTCATATAAATACTCGAGATCTTACTATATAAATGTAAAAGAACAGTCGACACGATTTTATAATCGTAATTAAACAATTTAGTTTACATTAATTAGATAGAATAAATTTTTTTAATGATCACGCATACCTTACTTTCACTTGAAACACCTTCGTACCACTCGTCGCCATCTTCTTTTTCCAAGGAAACTTGCTGATTAAATTCCCCGTGCCCATTCAGGACGATCCATTTCCCACTTTCGCTCAACGTTGACGGATTCTGCTCATGAAAATCGTAACTGTGATCGGCCGAAGAATGATCACGATCGTTAATCGGTGCCCAGTTAGAGCTGAATTTGCTCGCGCGAGTGCCGTAAGGATCGGAACTTTGGCTGTTTTTGCGATTCGAATTGGGATCGACCGATGGATTTGTCACAGATTGTTTAGATTGATTTTGAAGAGACGGTCGATCATCATCATCATCTCCTTCCTTTCCCCATGCGGGCCAACTAACAATTCTTTTAGCGACTTTGCGATTGACTTCGTTACCACCACTTTTAAGAATATCCTGCAATGACAATAGGATATACAGGATTTCAGCAAAATTAGTGGACAGTTTTCTACATAAGAGTGCACATGATTCATAAAGGTTAGAGATAAAATTTTGTAACGATTACTTTAATTTTTAAAAATCAAAGGCATCCTTATTTTCCATTATAAAAATTAAATATCATAATCTCACAAACTCTTATCTTATGAATATAATTTATTGAACGATAACATCTGAAAATTATATATTTTTATGGCACAATATTCTAAAGAGTATTGGTAAATATCATAATCTCACAAACTCTTATCTTATGAATATAATTTATTGAACGATAACATCTGAAAATTATATATTTTTATGGCACTATTAGAGAAAATAAAAATTTGTTAAAGCTTAATAAAAGTTAGAATGTCACTTCGTATATTGATAATTATGTTTAAGCAACTTATTCTATAAAACAGTAAAAGCAATTTAATATTTCATTTGATTAATAATTCTGCGGTATTGGGGATTAAAAAAATTTTTCGATAATGGCATTATAATACATAAATAAATGAATATTGTATACAATGAATTTACACAAAGTTAAGATAATAATATATCATTTAACCACTGTTGAGAAAAAAAAATTCATTTTATCTAATTAAGAGTATACAAGTCGTGTATTATAATTAAAACTTTCAAATCTAAAATATTAATGAACTAATCAATAATCAAGGAAATATCAACTTTGTGCAGTTTTTATTATTTAAAGACGTTTTAGAAATAATGTTTATTGTGAAAACGATAATGAGATAAGTAAACAAGCAGCTCCAGAAAGTTCTTATCTTATTACCAATACTATCATATATACATATATGTATATATATATATATATATATATATATAAACATTTTTTTTTATTGGAGATTTAAACTAAATTGCTCAACATTTTATTTCACATGATTATATCTAAGTTATGAAATCACAAAATGGTTGCCTATAAGTATATTAATTTTCAGAAAGGAAAGTGAATATTTCTGTTATTAATGTCATTCACAATGATGGATTTTTTCATAATCGTATAATATATTTCATATATTGCACGCACATACTGCATAATTGTTAAGATTGATTCATAATTTATTTATTGAAGTAGGCTCGTATTAATTTTTTAAGCCCCAAGACTATTCCTATTAAATGAATGTTATATTAAATGAATGTCATGAAGTTTATATTTT